ATATGATAATATATAGAGAAAATTTCATTTTATTTAAATTAAGAACCAAAATATTCTCAACGGTTGATCAAGCATGCTTAGAGCTGGATAGGCTTGTTAAACACAGTCCAACGATCAATCCATTAACATCTCCCTGGAAAAACATACTGATATTTTATTTTTGCATTTTTCTTCTGGGTCATCTTTTATTTCTGTATTTCAAGAAAACATTTCTGGAGGGTCTAATGCAGTCCCTAGTTTCTTTGCTTGATGTAGAGATTTGTGAACAACTTAGGTGCCTTATGTTTTGCTGATGCATTGCTTCATGATTCAGTATTGGCTGTTATTCTGGTGGGCCTGCTATATGGTTTCTTCATTGCTATAATCTGTGGACAGAGAATTAATGAGCGGCATTATCATGTTCTTGCAAAGCAGGAGCTGACAAAGGTTAGTAATGATGTGTACTTCCTAGATTCCAGGTACCTATCTAGTTCCTTTTCTGTTTTATTTTAGATGTTTCCTGCAGCTGTGGAAGTGCTATAGATTCAGTTTAATACTCCCGTTCATATTTCTACTTCAAATGGATTATCCCAGACTTGTAGTCCTAGTTAAAATGATTTATTTCACTGTAGATTTCACTAAATATAATCCATTCATACTGAAACCACAAGCTGCAGCTTTAGGTGTGTTTTGTGATTTGAATTTTGTTTTCTTGTAGGGCTTGTTTATGCTTGAATATATACTCTGTCCCTTGGGAACCAAAGTAGTGTTTTTATTGGGCCCATAAAGAGATGACAACTGGGTTATAGCTTTGTGAGTTGCACAAGGCTAAAGTATATTGGATTTGCAAAAATTAAATGCGTGATGGGAAGATATAATTGTCCCATTCTCTGTGTTACCCCTTCATCTTTTATAAGAACCATTTCATTCATCTGCGCAAAGGCATGTTCAGAATTAAGCCTCCTTGCGAACTATCCGACCTAGGATTTTATTTTCTTTTAACTATTTAACTATTAATAGCTTTTGGTCTTTATTCAAGTTCACAAAGATTTAAATTGATACCATCTAACTAGTCTAATTGCAGGAGTACGTGGTTGAAAATCGAGATGAAAATAAAAACTTGCCAGAGCTTGATCCTAGTCATGTTACAGAGTTGAGAATGCTGGGTCTTTATTGAGCTGATGTAGATTTGCAATGATCTGGTTATCTGGTAAGAAGACATGAACTCGCAAAGCTATATTTTTGCTTCATCATATGGAGACTATTAATAAATTTTGTTTCCAGCATTTTCATGTCAATATGCTGTATTTCTCTAAGCATTTGGTATTAATTCTTTTAATTACCCTGTAGGCAAGGTCAGATACCAGCCCTTTCCCCATTTTGGTTTACTTTTTGTTCATGTGTATTAAATTTATTCCAAGAAACAACATTTGAATCAGTTATGTTTCTTGGGTCTTGGACCTTAAAGCTGTATTTTGTTAATCATGATTTAGATTTTAAGCTGCTTCTTTCATTGTTACTGAGGCTCTTATATGATACTGCTATTATTAAAATTTTAGCTACATCATTGTCACTGAGGTTCTTATATGATACTGGTATTATTGAAATTTTAGCTACATCTTTCCCAGGTTATGGAATGATGCTTCCTTGTTTAGTTGACCATGTGATACCAGAAGAAACAAGCATGGATTATACCTGAACTAGAGCTGGAGATTTTTGCTTCATTGCACCATCTTCAGTGGGCATCTGGAGTTCGCTTTACACCTCCCTGAAATTGAAGGCAAATTTAAGAATTCTTTTGCTTTATCTTCGTGCAAATGTTTAGAGATGTGTCGTATACTATTCTTTATGTACACTAGGTAAACTTCTGCACGCCACTGCTTGTTCCATCCATCATGTAACCCAGAACACTTCTATTCTATGATTTCTTCTATTTGGTTATGTACCTGAATATACCTTCAAGGATACAATTGTAATCCCTGACATGGTCAATTTTACCGATGGAAGAATAGGCTTGTTCAACATAAATCGTTTTTTTGTCAGTGTTTATAGCCTATGCTATGATGCAACTAAACATGCAGAATTCGGTTTTGGTTGGGATTCTCTTCTGTCATATTACCTGATGTCATGTTGATGAGTCTTCTTAATGACCCGGTGGTTTGATGAAAATTGATGCCTATGTTTTAACTGTTCTTTCAGTTTAAATATAATAAACTAAATTTTGTTGACATTTAATGTGGCACTAGAACAAGTTTTAGTGCAGCCAGAAATGAAACAATGGTCTTTGTGATCTTCCTGACATTTAGTTTGTTGCTTGATGATTAGGATTTTTCAAAGAAACTTCATTCAGGAATTATGAACCTCATACAATTTGATAAGTGGTTGACATTTTGATAGAACTTCTAATATCTTTGGCATAAATCACCCTGCAGAAAAAAGCCAATTCAAGAAACAAAGAGTACATCCAGGATGAGTGCATGGTTATTGGCAGCCACTGGCTTCTCACCTTGCAATGCTGAAAGTGCATCATGAGTCCAGGTTAAAAGCTCATCAACTGAATCCTGGATTTCATACCTTGACTTGGTGTGCCTTGTCCCTTTGTTGGATGATTTAGGGATGTTATGGCCTCATGATATGGATGAACACACAACGGACAATCCTCCCCACCCACATTGATGCCTAAGTGAGGGGAAGGGAGGAGATGAAGGGGGACCAATCATCATAACCTTTGTCCTCATCAAGGAGGAGGGGTTTAAACCTTCAGTTAGGAGAAAAGTAATCTCATTTCAGTCATCTACTGCTCTTCTCTTAGGCTATTCAGTATAAATTTTAACCTCTCCTCTTCAATCACATCCCATTCTCATGTCCTTCTGTTCCAAATGAGGAGCTTTCTCTGTCACAACTTTCTGCCGTAGTACATTGAATTCAACCCCCCTGGTCTCTTTGAGCACATTCCAAGCTCATGGTGTCCTTTTGTGTTTGAAGAGCTATCGTCTGTTCTGACCGTCTACTGCTGAATTCAGCTCTGTTCTCAATGAGCCGCTTCATTCTTCTGGAATGCCAATCCTGACCTTATCACCTTCCACGCCACTAGACTTGAACTCTTGAGGTCCGTGGTGTGGACACATCGCACCATGTCGTTCTAATGTCCATTTTGGATTATGTTTTGGCATGGTTCCAAAGGGACGATCAAGTATCTATTTAATATGAAGCTTCCCCAAACCAAACAAAATCTTATCTGATCATCTTTTTTCTGTGGCCATGAGCTCCGTGTTGTCCTAATTGTCATCAAACAAAGTGGATAAACTATCAAGTGTTTCATTTTGGAAACTGCATTTTAGAAATGTGGCTGAGACATTAATATAGTTATTTGATGATGGAATGTGAAGATGAACATATCATCATAATCAGTTGTGTGCTCAACGGAATTAAAATGATGCAAATGTGTCACTGAACAATGTAGAATTTTTACATGGTTTGATCCCCTATTCTTCAGTTGCCAAAGTTCTATATTTTGGGTAGGATGAGTGTGGCACTCAACCATTATAGGAAGTTCAGAGCTGGTCACGGAAGTGAAGAACTGAGCTTGATTGCTTTTATAGGAGCTAAGACCCAGTTAGGAGCTGAGCTCTCCTGCTGGGGACTGAAATCTAACATTTGTAGGACTGTCTTCCTGTAAATGTCAATTTGAAAAGCACAAGCTGGACTGAACAAGGGACTGTTTGCAGATGAATCAGCATCTCTAGGTTCTCTACATCTGCAAAATTAAGTAAATCTTATACCATTTTGTCCAAAGTTGGTGTCCAATACATCTAAAACTTCCTTATTCATGTAATTACCAATTTTTCTAATGTGATGACTATAGAAGCACGGAAATTTGATGCTATTTCAGGTATCGGTCTCTTATAACCATTATTTGAATTAACTGCATATACTCCTGTTCTTCACAAATTGAGCAAGTTATCTCTGGTTGTTATGCTCATTGACTCTCTTTACTGTTAAGTATGTCTTTATGTACTGTCCTACTTTCATTTTACTAGGAAACCAGTTGATTCATTGTTTCTGAATCTGAATGATACATTCTTTACTTTCTTGTTGACTAAACTATGAAGTGATGGCTTTTTTTCCTAGACTTGGAATGTTAGGTCTGATATGATGTATCTTTCTTCTCATTACCTTTTCACTAGGAAATCACTTAATTCATTGTCTGAATGTAGATGGCATCGACTGTATGTATCCATTCTCATAGAGTAATCTCTGAGGGGACGAGTGACTTTTGCCAATGACTGGATTGATAAGTTGATTATGGCATTTGGCCACGCAGGTGAGTCCACACAATGTTCCTGGACTTCATAATCTTCCAACTTATCAAGTGTTTTAGTTGCTTTTGACATCTAGACAACCAGTATCATTATCTCTGAAGCTAAATGATGTGGCATAAATATTAAATTTCTTATAGATTAAGAGTCTAAAGTGATGGCTTTCTCTAATGGCTGAAGTGATCAGTTACTTGTTGCACTTGAATTCCCCAGCTGTGGAACACATTGGAAAGGCCCCCCTCTTGTCATGTATAATATTTTAACTAGGGCAGAATTTAAATGAACACCTGTTCTGTGACCACTGGTGACACAGCAAAGTTATTTTACTCTCCTGTAACCCTGATATCATGTGGCCAGATAGATTTGTCTAAAGAGAACTGTGTGTGTGTCAGTAGAATCTCATTCATTGGTATTAGCCTTTGTCAGACCATCTCCACTTACAAGTCTGAAGTTTTTAGGTTTCAAGTGTCTTGACTGATGATTGATAGTTACAGAGAGGTGTTTTCAGCTAATTAATTACTTCTCATGTCTGTTCATGGAAACAATATTGATTTTGGATCCATTCCTTGGGGGAATAATGCATGACAAGATGATTACTACATATGCTTCATGGTCTATGATGTTCATACATACAACAGTGATTTAAACAATAACATTGTTTTTAATTTCGAATTAAGGTGTAATAATTTGTGCAATTGTTTCTTGTATCCAAATGTTTTTTGTCACAGTGTTTCCTTTGCATAGCATCCATCTAGATCTTACAACTGGTACTAAAAGCCTTTCCCTCGGAACATTTAGCATTAAATAGCAGTAAATGCTATTTAATGTAAAGAGACAAGGACCTTAGTGTCTAATAAAATGTCAGAAGCACATGTAATGTGCATCCAGAACAGAACCACACAGGATCAGTAGACAAACTTGATCAGCAAATTAGAATTCAAGGACAAGAACATGCAGAAGAGAAGGGAAAACAAAGTCACCACCAAGCTACAGAGTTCACCAGTCTGCTTCCATGGAGTTCTTAGATTTGTTCCGCATCGACAACGAATCTGCTGCTAAAATTGCCATCAAATCTAGATTTTAGTTGGCTAGCAACAAGTAGCAAACAACTAGAGAGGTAAAGAATGCAAGAGCATGGAGACAGTTAACTAAACCTTGCACTTCCGAACCTTGAGCAGCGGATGAAACAGGTGCTCCCTCTCTCGCTATCTCTCTCTCTGTCTCTATTGATGGAGATGAGAGGACACTTGATCGTCGAAATCCTTTGCATTGCCATTAGAGTCTTCTGTAAACCTCCCCAACCTGAAGTGCTTCAGCTCCACTCCATCTGCCGCCCCATCGATGGCCAACTCCGCCAGGGTCCTCCCCACCACCGGTCCCATCTTGAACCCATGTCCTGAAAACCCTCCGGCCACCACCACGTCCTTGCCGAGCTCGCCGCCGAGGAAGTCGATCACGAAGTCCTCGTCGGGGGTCATGGAGTACATGCATGACTGGATGATCACAGGCTTGTCGGTCTCGACCTTGCCCGGAAGCATCTGCTCGATCCAGGAGCCGACGGCGTCCACCAGCATGCCGGAGTTCGATGTCCAGTCCCTCCTGTCGGGGTCGCACGGACGGCCGCCGTGCAGCCCGATCTTGATCAGTCCCGGGAACTCCATCGACGGCGTCCCGTAGACGTAGATTTCGCCGTAGCTGGCGAAGGTGGGGAAGCCTCCCTCCGGCGTCATCTCGTGCTCGTGCCCTTCCTTGATCTTCCAGTAGCAGATGGTGGTGTGGAGAGGGTGGATGGGCAAGACATGGCCGCTGACTGCTTTCACCAGTTTGCTCGTCCAAGGTCCCACCGTGACCACGCACTTCTTCCCCAGGAAGCTGTCGCCGGTGGCGGTGGACACCCGTACGCCTCTGTCTTCCTCGTCCTTCTTGATCCCTGTCACCTCCATGTGATCCTTTAGAACAGCCCCTCGTCGTATGGCCAGGGCCTGAAACATGGCCACCGCCTTGGTCGGCTTGATGACACCTCCGGCGTCGCTTCGGACCCCGATCCACCCCTCGGGCAGCCGGAACGTGCCGGAGAACATCTCGTCGACCGCGGCTCGATCGAGAAGGCGCACGTTGACCGAGCTCTGCCGCTCGCAGCTGGCGATAGCAGACCGGAGGCTCCTGTTATCGGCAGGGCCCATATCGAAGTGGGGGGTTCTGGTGAGCACCCGGTAGCCCGCCTCCGACTGCGCCGCCTCCCACAAGCGGTGCGCCTCGAGGACCATCGGCGGGTAGTACTCCTCCGGGTAGGTGGCGCGGATGGTGCGCGACTCGCCATGCGAGGAGCCCAGCTGGTGGAGGAAGTCGAACTGTTCCAGGAGCAGCACCCTGCAGCCGCGCTTGGCCGCCTCGTAGGCCGCGCAGCTTCCCATGATCCCCGCGCCGACGACGACGACATCGAACTGATCACCGCAGGATTCCATGGCCGCTGCCTCCTCTCTGCACACCTCTCTCTCAGCAGCAGCAGGGTGGTTTCCACTGGTATTTGAGCAGTAGATGCGTTGAAGCAGAAGGTGTTTGATATGAAGATTCTGCTTTCATCAGAACAGAGGAACATTGTAATCCCCGATGATTTTTTCTCTTTTAATGTAAATTAATATCACAAAATAAATAATATATTATTTTATTTAAATTATTAATTTCTTTATTTGTATAGTATGATTAAGGAAATAATTAAAATTAATTCCTTAATCATATGAATAAGTTAGGAATTTTGCTCACCAATGAAACTATTAATTGATTTATTTCCTAATGAATGATATGAATTTTAGAAAGTAAATAATTTAAATTTATTTTATGTGTGAATCATAAAAAATAATATTATAAATCTATTTTTGTGTGTGAAATAAGATAAAAATAAAATAAAATTATTACTTACCTTTAATGGTAGGATTGAGAAGAAGATATCTCAAGGATCCTTTATTTTTTTAGTAATTTTTATTTATATTTTAAAATCTTTGATATCAGATTTATTATAATTTATATGATGCACGATAATATTTTAAATTTATAATTAATAAATAATGATCATTGAATTGTGATGTTAGAATTATTAATTAACTTAATAATATTTCTAATTCATTTAATTAGATATATTTATATTTAAAAATTTATGTGTAAATTTTTATGATTTAATTAGCTTTAAATTTGAAATCATGAATCTAACTTAGTTTGTTTATAAAAAATAAATTTGAGATTAATTATTATTTTTATAATTTTAAAAATATTTTTAAAGTAATAAAATCTAATTTAATAAGAATAGTCAAATTGGGTCTAACATAAGTTTGATTGATCAGATCAGCCCATGTGGCTAGGCATAACCTAGCCTATGTGGTTAAGTACGATTCAACTCTAGTTATGCATGACTTAGCTTATATGGTCAAATACGTTTCAACGCATGTGGCTAGATATAGCTCAATCAATGTGACTAAGTATGATCCAATCCATGTGACTAAGTATGATCTAGCTTAGATGGTCAAGTATAATTCAGCCCATGTGGTTACGCATGACCCAGCCTATGTGGCTCAGTACAGCTCAGCCTATGTGGGTAAGCATGACCTAACCTATGTGGTTATGTATGATTTAACTTATGTAATTAGGAATGATCCAACCTATGTACTTAGTTACAATCCAACCCATATTGTTAGGTATGACTCAACTGGTATGAATAAATATGAGTTGACTCATATGACGAAGTACGACTCAGCCAAGCTTGACCCAATGCATGTAGTTGCACATCATTAAAATTGTGATCAAGCATGACCCAACATATGTGATTAGGTATAACTCAACTAATGAGCCAAGAGTGGCCTGGTAATGCTTAGTTAAACTCATGAGTGAGGCTCAATCCAGCTCATGAAGCTAGGCCGGCATAGCTATGACATATTATCATCCCTCTATCTAGTCTATTGTACCTTAACCTAACCTATTACCTAAGACATGTGTGACACATGTCACATGTTTAAGACTTAGGTAGATCGATTTGATTTGGACTAGCATTATATAATATAGTCCAATTTTCTCTACCTTAATTGGTTTGATTTTGTTAGTTGACTAGATCAAATAGGTTTAATCAATTCAAGTTGGCTCTAGGTGATTCAAGCCCACTTGACATGATTAAAATCAATTAAATTTAAATTAGACTAGTTTAAGATGATTCTAGGTCGATTCTATAAGGATTTGAGATTAGTTTCATTATGTTATAACTGAATTGAGATTAGTTTAAGTCAATTAAATTATTTTAATCATGATTCATTAAAGATTATTAAGAGATTAATGCATGTCTTTATGATTTGATAAACTAATATTTTATATAAAGATATTATTTAAAAATAATTATTAATTTTCTTATATTTTTAGATTAAATTGATAATATTGATGTGATCATTACCATATAGTATATTGTAGTTTATGTGACTATACTAAGTGGTTATTGAAAATATAATTTGTGAAAAGAGCTATGAGCTATCACAGTACTACCAGACCACTAATGGATATAACCCAGTAGTTCATATATCAAACAATTATATGGTTTCTCTATCCGTTAAAGGAATTCATCCCATAAAGTATGTCTTTTCATCTGTTGGGAGAGTACAGATGTGATGTATGTCTTTGTTATCTAATTATTATCTATATGATTGAGATGTGTTGATGTGTTATTTTATTTATTGCATAAGAATTAACTTTATTTTTTAATGTATGGATTGACATGTTATTATTTTTATATTAAATTATTAATATTTATATATGTTACATGAGTATTAAATATTAATTTAATTTTTTTTATGATTATTGATATATTTTTATCTTATATTTTTTTAGAATAATCTATTATTTTGTAATAGATCTGAACCATGTGGATAAGACTTTTTCTATCCCATTAAGAAGATATAATTTTTTAATTAAAATATCGTAAAGATAAAGATTTGAATTCAAAGATTAAAAAAAATCTTTCCTAAATTAAGAACTATGAATGATAGTTTTTATTTTATTTTTTTATTAAATCTAGCACGTGATAAACACTCTACTTCATCCAAACAAGAGATTCCGTATGCTGTAAGGGATTTGTTTAGCAATGTATAAAGCTGGACTTGTTATTATCCAAGTCTCTTTTGGGCCACCTCTGCTGGCAGGCTAATCTAGAAAGCAAGGTGGTGTGAGGTGTTGTCCGTCGTCATCTTTGTTCACCATAAAGCAGTTCTATATCTTGTCTATTACTTGGGATTCTCTGCATGGTAAAGGTGGGCAGCGGTTTCTAAGCAGGGGAACAGGAGATTGCTCTAAAGATGATGATTCCTGGTGGTTCTTGGAATCTGATACACGTGCTTGGACCAACAATGGGTTGTAAAGCTTACAGATCTAATATTCTTGCATGAATACTCTTCAAAACAGAGATTAAAGAAGAAAGGAAAGAAGTCTCTGACCTGATTGAGTCTCTGTGGATCCCCGAGAACCAGTTACTTGGGTGGTTCCACCACTGACTGCACACGAGAGAGAGAGAGAGAGATGTTAATACAAGGCATGTGAAGATAGAATCCAACAAAACCAGAACATACAAGCAGCAGCAGCAGCAGGAGGAGAGAGGAGGAGGAGGATACCAAACAGTGAAGAGCAATCCAAATAAGACGTATAGGTGTCAGGAAACATATCCACAGGAAAGCAATGACGGAGGGGATCATCCATCGGTGGGGATAGGAGAAGGCTAAGTTGACGACAAGAGGGTTGACGCCATGACCAAGACTCTAACTCTACCGTTGCTGCACCGCATACAGACTCCGGAGCATACGCTTGTCTTGTAGTTTTGGTAGGTCTGGGACTCGTCTTAGTAGCAGTAAATGAAATTAAATTGGCATGTGGAGGAGAATGAGCTTCGCAGATGGTAAACAGTCAACATTGACTGACCAACTGATGAAAGCTACAAGAACAAGAACAAGATTCTGACACGACATGGTTTACTTGACTTGGCACTTTGGAAAAATCAACAAGGTTGACAATTTGGAGCACCTGGACACTGATCGGATTGATACAGTACTATTTCGTATCAGCATACTAACATGCTAAAGAGGGTTATTGACAGTAATCGTACCTGAATGACTCGGATTGATGCTTCAAACGAAGGATCATCTGATAAATTGATGATGTGCAAAGATTTCAGACCAAGTTCTCTGGTTCCTCTGACTAACAGTCTGTCTTCTCACATCATAATGTTGATGGTGGTAACTTGATATTATCTGAAGCAACCCAGTTTGACGGTCACAAAACTTCCAAGTCTCCTTCCACAATGAGAATATCTTCCTAGAAGAAGCATCACAATATATGCCTTCAAAGAACAGTGTCCAAACTCCAAGCAAAAACCTAATGTATATGCCTCCAAATAAGTACATTAAACGAGAACAGCATAGCAGAACATATTTCGGTGAGAAGCAACAGTCAACATGCAAATAGGATGCATCATTTTGGCATTTGGAGAAACTGAAGACTATAGTTCAGGATGATTCTTGGGCGGTAGAGGATAATGAAGGGTCGCTGGACTGTAGTCTGCACTCCCTTGCTCTTCGTCATATTTGGGCACGCTGCCCAACAAACTGACCTTGGTTTTTTATTTCTTTGCTCTACAAATCATCTGCATCAAATGAATCGATAAGTTTTCTTATTTCAATCAGCTGAACTGGAGGAAAAAACATACTAACTAACCCATAGCTTTCTCCTCACTATCACTGCCTGATGCAGAACAGACTAGCTCCTTCGTAACTTCTGTTATAGAATTTGGTCTTCCGTGGATGGGGATGGAGAAGGGGCAGAAACATGGCGCCTGTTAAGGGAGATAAAGGGCCAACTTTAGAACACACAAGAGACTAGCACATATAGCAACTTCTAAATGTCGGTGTGTCCAGTTTAGCAAATTCTTTCTTGGCTCAATCAAATAAAGTTATCGATCGATCGATCGATCGATCGATCGATCGAGAGAGAGAGAGAGAACATATAATTGAAGAATATATGATATGAGTCCGATAATTGTAGCAATATGAAGAAAACATGTATGCTGGGGCATGCTTTGGATCCTGTTGTATTTATGAGAGGAAATGGCAAAAATGCCACCAAAACCAACCAAGTCTTCTTTCTGTGATACTCCGAGACCTCTTTCACATATTTTATCTCGATCGGCAGATAAGTTGTTGGGCAGTGCAAAGGAGCAGAAATCATGGTGTTAAAATTAGGATCCCACTCAAATTGAGTACGGCATCCCAGCTTAGTTCCAATCTATTAACTCAGCACGTGGTCGAAAGTTCTATACTTGTCGGCAGTGCAACCAAAATATTGTTGTTTAGATATATGTTCTCTCCGCCTAAGAAGACTCACTCTGTTACAGCTTGAGATAATGAGGTCAAATTAAATAATTCATCTATTAGCATGTCTCTCAAGGAATAAACAAAATGCTTTCCATTTCAGAGGCAACTTTGTTTGGAAGTAATTACACTAGGAGGAGCCCTTAGTATAGTGGGTCATGGAGAGTTTACTGAATTTGATGCATCTCTCCAATTATTTTGTTGGCAGCATCAATATCAATGTGAGTGGCAGAGGGCAATACAGGAATTGTCAGAGAAAATGCCTTCAGCCATTCTGGTCTTTTGCCGTTTAAGAATGGTCTTTTCTAACGTCAAGCTTGTTTACAAAACATCAGAAATGGATAGCATTTTTAAGTTTTGTTCAAAAGGAATACACAGAAATCAAATCCCAGCAAGCATGTTAGTTGTCAAATAAATATTTGATTTTAGAACACCTCTGAAAAGAACAAAGGCTAACTAACTTGATGGATACGGGTCAAAAAAAGGTCAAAGAAAGAGATGAGAACATAAAACCAACAAAGACTTCTCCTCGTCTCTATATTTAATGTAGTAACTTATTCACTTTTCATTCTTGCACCAACTTACTGAGATAGACCTATCAAGAATGATGAAAGGAAAAGTTTTTACATATTGCAGTATGTTGGGTAGATTGATGCACATATAAGTGGTTGAACACTAACCTTAGGATGAAGTAGGAAGCTTCCATCCTTCTTTACTTTAAGAATCTTCTCACCAAATTTTTGGTACAGCCAATATCGCTTATCCACTATGATTAAGGAAGATTGTAAAACATCATGCACATCAGTAACCCAAAGATTCCGAACAAGAAATCAACCTACAAAATCAGATCGAAATGTAAGAAATGCAATATCGATATATTTCATCAGATTAGTAAATGTAGTAACCAAATCTCTAGTGGTTTTAAAAGGTAATGAAAATGTGTATCAATTATCTTTTGCTCAAGAATGGAGGCAATCACTGAGTTTCTCAGTGCAGAAATTGTCTACTAACCTAAAGCCAACTTCTTTCGACATTTTTTGTCCCCATATTTAAATAAAATTACCTTTATCAGATTTAACTTACAACTTATATATCAAGTGCAAACATAGAATCTCAGAAACTAATTGGTGCAAGTGCATTGATGGTGTACCTTGGCAACTATGACTTTTCCTTCCACATTTCACAATCAAGATTAAATAGGACATGGATATGCTGAAGGTGATTATTTTAAAGAATAACTGAAGGTGATCATTTTAAAGTCTAAAATGAATATATCCAAATTTTAAATCTTTCTCTCCAACTAATTTTCTTAAGAATAACACAATTAAACTGAAGAACTTTGTGTTGGCAATTGCTATCCAAAACTAAGCACGAAAAACATGTTGATCCTTAGCGACCTAGGAGATGAGAGTTCAAGTCATGGAAACATCTAACATTAAAGTTGCTCCTTTGCGACCTGAGAGACAAGTCGCAAAGAATATTTTTATTTTTTAAATATTTAAAGCATAGAGTCTTAAAAACAAGGTTCAAATCATGGAAACAACTTAAATATTTAAAGGTAAGGTTGTCGAGACCTCGCATTGGATATATTCATTTTTTAAAATGAATATATCCAAAAAAGACAACTTTTTATTTTTAAAAAATCTAACGTTAAATACCCATGTAACTAAGCGATCTGAAAAATCAAAGAGGAAAAAGATATTTTCTGAATTGCTAAAGCTAGATAAAGAGGAGGGATTTAGATAAATTTAGTTGCATAAGGGACGAAGATAAAAATATACTTGTTAACGAGACTGAGATTAATTAAAAATGGAGAAATTATTTTTTTCTAAATTATCTATTGAACATTGTACATAACTTAGCTTCTACACTAGTGCAAATATAGTAAAAGAAACATGGTAAGAATATTGGTCATGATGATATCCTAATTAAGAATAAAAGAGATGTCCAAAGTTGTTATAATTATAGAGAAATTAAGAAAATGCTTCATACAATAAAACTTTGGAAAAAAATGATCGAAGATTAGAATAAGAAGCCAAATAAGTAATTCCAAGAATCAATTTGGTTTTGTGCTTAGTAGACCAACCATAAAGGCTATTTATTTATTAAGGCTATAAATTGAAAAGAATACAAAGAAAAAGAAAGATTTTCATATAGTTTTTAGTGACTTATAAAGCATCTCTAATAGAGTCCCAAGAGAATTACTACTGATTATATTGATAGTTGATACCATAAAATATACGTATGATCATATAATCACTAGTGCTAAAACTACAAGTAGTGTGTCTAATGTGTTTCCTATCATATTGCATCAAGGTTTTTGTTCAAGTCTTACAATTTTTTATATTGATAAGGGATAAACATACTAGTCATATATCTGATAGGCATTATGGTGTATGTTTCTTGTAGATAATGTTATTTAAATTGATGAAAATCTAAATGAGATTATGTTTAACCTTGAGTTAAGGAGCCAAAGGTTTAAATAAAGTAGGACTAAGATTGAATACATAAGATGTAATTTTAGAAGTACTAGAAAAATTAACTGAGGATGTAGTTAAAATGGAAAAACAAAAAATTCCATCAAGTAAAACTGTAGAAGTGTATATATCTTGACTCGATTACTCAAAATGTCAGAGAGACTGATAAAGATTTTGTCCATACTCCATAGAGTAAAAGCTGGATGGTGACAGTTGAGAAGAACATTAAGAGTTTTGTGTCATCCATGAATGTCCTCTAGATTTAAAAATTTGTAAGACAACTGTTAGATCAGCCATGCTTTATGGATTTGAGTACATAGTAGCTAAAAAGCAACAGCTTTAAAAGGTGTGCTGCCGAGATGAGAATATTAAGGCAACATTTATTTTTTTATTGCTTAGAATAAGATGTTTTTTCATTTGTAAATAGTTCATCATAACTCCAATAAAAGAAAAAACGAGGAATAATTATTTAAAATGATATAGATATATTTAAAGGAGATATTTAGATAATCGATGTGAATATTAATTGAGGTGAGACAATTAGTATTAGTGGGGTGAAGAGAGATAAAAGACAATAGCTTAGTAGTGGTAAAAGATACATGTAGCCGAACTAGACATCAGGACATAACAACTTATTTTTGTTGTTGTGCTTCCATCTAGGTGCTCTTGGAAACAACTTCCATTGTGCTCATCCAATTTATCACTATGAAGGTAAAATTAGTTGCTTGCCCTATAGTAACTTGCTTGAAAGTTTTTCAATCTCTACTTACTATTCCATGAGGGTAGCAGAATATGAAACAGATTTGTCAAACTTTAGATTACAAACTTAGTTTGGTGCCATGTCACAATTCACGTCATTTGGAAAGATTACAAGGAATGAAATACAATGAAAAGAGAACAAGAAAAGCTCCCATCATCATATCTTCTTTAAAATAATTTGCTTGAAAGTTAGAAAAACTCTACCTGCTATTCCATAAGAATAGCAAAAATATGAAACAAATTTGTCAACCTTTAGATTTCAACTCAATTTGGTGACATGTCACAATTTACATAGAATTGGAAAGATCACAAGGAATGAAATACAATTAAAGAGGCAAGAGAAGCTTAAATCGTCAAATGTTCAATAAATACTGGACATCTCCCACCAAATGATCACCACAAGTGATAAGCATAAAAGGAATCGGAACCTCAAAAATACAGAAAAGTGTTCCAGATATGTAGGACAAAATAATTATAAATCAAATACAAAATTAAAACAGATCAACAAATTGATAATTCAAACTCTGCAGAAAATTTAGCAATTGGTAATACACTGATTGGAACTTGTAAACTTACAGATGATGATTGTATAAGATACAGAAAAAATTTCCTGCAGAATTTCCTTAGAGTCTTCCATGATGTCACTTATATAAAAGCTTGACACCTCAGATGGTGATACTGTGAAGGAGATGCCTCCTCAGGAATGCTAACCTACAATAATGGGCCAAACAAGAAGAGTTTCTTCCTTTGGACAAGCTCGCATTTATTATTTGTTATTGTTTGAGGTGTTCCGTAGCAGGAACTTATCAGAATTCTTCTCTGTGGATACTAAAAGAAACCCACAAAGTGTATCTTTTAGCTGAGGATCTTGAATCTGCCCATTGAAGTCCAAAATAGACCAGTCCTTAAAAGTTAAGCCCGTCCAAGTGCTATGATTTCTGCAAGCCAGATTCTTCGGATTTTTTCCTATTCCTCAAACGAGTCAACGCATATTTTTTCAAGAAGCAAGGACCAATCGCCCCCAAGTTGCTGTGGATTTAGCTCCATTGCTACCCTAAAATCCTTCAAATGTAACATATGTGTGCCTATCAAAGGTCCAACACTACCTTGCCTTTGGATGTTACTTCTTGCCCAAACACCATTAATGGGCTTTGCATAAGGCAGAAGACTGGGAACTGCCCGTTTTGTTGATACATGCTCTGTTCCTGTTCCTACTAGATCAATGCATGATTTAATTAACCTCTTCAAATAAGCATCTAACCCATTGTTCAGCAAGTTGGCACAGTCCATTGTTACTCCTTCTAAGCCCTGTGCTTGAGCCATTTTATCCATTCGTTTCTTCAATACCTCAGTATGGTACAGTTCGCTACAATCATAATTCCTGCAAAAGCCATCGTTGATACTGGTACCAGCAGAGAGAAGTGTCCTTCTTGCCTTGCCAATGCTCGTCAAAGAGAAAGGAATTCCAAGTGGAGCCCGAAGCGGATGTCTATGGGAGTCTAAACTACCCCTACAGTCCACATCCTCCACATGTTCTAGGAGAACTGCTTCAGAAAGAACCTTGTTATGTACAGAGCCCTGGTCATGCAGTGATGGTTCCTCGATCCTTGTTCTCTTTGTTGGCAGCTTGCAAGGTCCATCCTGCTGTCGCTGCAATGGTCTCTTCAAATTACATGAGTTCATGACACCGTTCTCACGGAAACCAACCTCCACCTTCCCATTTGGTCGAAGAGGACCAGGGTGGTCATAGATACTGTGATTATCAATACCACTCTTAAACTTGCACGGTGACCGTGGCAAGATATCCCCATTGGACCAATTTCCTGACTGTGTCCGGGCTTGTGAAAAATCAAGTCCATCATCTACTTGAGGAGATGTCTTTGACATAATAACAGTTGACCTTTGTGCAAATTTGCCATAATTGACAGGAGGAGCCTTTTCTTGACAGGCATTTTGAAGGATCGACCGGATCAGCTGATTGTGCAAGGGAAGATTCTCATGACCGAGTGTCAAAATGCAAAGCTTGTTGAACTCACGGTTGCTTAGCCTCTGTGACAGTAAACCATTCAGATAGCTGAAGTAGTTATTTGCTCGCTCATGGCCCAGCCGCTTTGCTATCTGTGATTTTAAGTCACTAAGGTGGGTACGGGAATGCTTCGTCACCGGTGGCTGTGGTTGCAACATCGGTGGTGGCAGCGATGGTTGCCGCTGCAGCATCGGTGGCGGCGGCAACTCTCAACAAACAGTAGCCATATAAATCACCATGAAAGCAAACGATTATAAGAGCTTCCTCCACTCCTATTATATCTCTGGGTTTTAGCCAATATCAGCGTTTGCACCTTCTCTTACAGAGAAAGCAAGCTATGCACGATTCCCAGCACCTCAGAGACACCAATGCAGGCAGAAATCTTATCTTCCACAGACGAACCCCACAAGCAACACAAGATCAGGAATCTGTGCCCACAGAGATGGAAACCTGAAACCGGAATTTTCTCACACAGAGATCGAAAACCCTAAAATCCGAGAAACAACCAGAATCAAGTCCCATTTAGTAGCGGCCAGCTCGGGAAGCTCTCATTGCAACCCGGAACCCCACCAAAGAAGCAGGCGACGATCTGCTCCCCGGTCCGCGATCGGAGAACCCACAATTAAGCGAAGTGGGCCTCAATTGCCTCCGCGGGCGGATCAAGGCGAGAGAAGCAGAGAAAGACGGATAACACGAATAGGAAAGAGAAGCCAATCCTGGGGGGGAACGAGAACGCAGGCAGAAGAAGAGGGGAGGGGGAATTCGAGATGCCCTCACCGCAAACTCGCAGCAGCCGGATCCACCGCCTCGATTCTACTCCGAGGCGCCTTCGCCGGCGGCGAGCGGAGCTCCGATTGTTCTCTCCCTCGGTTGTTTGAGCGCTTCTTCTCTTTGCTTCGCGCTTCCCCCTCTTATTCTTCTTCCTCCTCCTCCTCCACCCCTTCTCTCTCCACTTCGCGCTGAGTCGGGATTAGATCGAGCAGAAACAGTCGTCTTTTCGTTCTCTGACTCACCTCTCTCTCTCTCTCGCAGCTCTTTTTTTCTTCACCTTTTTTAATTGATTTTTAATATATATTTGGACTAAAACACGCGTATTATTTGGTTTATTAGATTTTAGGACAGTACTATTTACCGTTTCCCTCGGAACGCGCGCATATACTCGGCTTTGATTGGGAATACTGTGGGCTCCAGTGAAAATATGGGTGGTGGGTGCGTGGGTAAGAACGACTATTGATTCGTCTTGTGGGCTGAGTTACGATTAGTGTAAGAAGCAATGTTGTAGGATTGGGCGTGAGCTCGATTGAGTTGCGTTGGACTCGTTACCAGTGAGATGCAGTGACATGGAGGTGGTGGTTTTGGCGGCGGGATGATCTACGTTTCGGATTGGAGAGCAACCGTAGGCGTTTGACCTTGAAAGCCAAAACAAAGTCAACGGAGAGCCGGGAGCTTCTTGTCGGAGACGAAGTCAACGCCTCGTCGTGTGCTGCATGAGTTGAGATGCAAAAGGTGCGATAGGTTTGATTTCACGAGTCACGAGTCAATGAATGTTTGACTTCCTGATTTCATTGAAATTAAATTGCAACGAAACAAAAGATCCAAATAAAAGTCACATAAAAAATCTTAGCAAAAATAGCTTTAAAGAGTTCATCAATATATGTCTTGCATTCTTTGTGCATATTATTCTTTTGAAGTCACCTTCGGTATATAATGTTAATATTTAAGAATGCACATATATATCGAAACTAGAAATAATGACGAATATAATATTCACAAATTAAAACCTAAATTCCATTATGAACTAATTCATCTACTATATGCTCATCTAGTCCTATAAACTAACTCAAATCTTGAATCACTTCTAATTTACGACTATAGTCGATATCACATTAAAACTGTTAAACTTATAGCATGTTCTTGATCTGTCGGAATTGCAAAATTTCAGGCATGGACCTTGGGATGAAGTTGCTATTTCATGTTAAGTGATCAAAGACCAGTTTATTTACCAGAAAAATGGTTCAGATGCCCTAAAATTCATACTCATGCAGATAGAAAAAAGTTTGCTATGTAGAAACTTGCACAACTTCCACTATTGAAGGGTTGCATGATTTGAGTAAAAAGTATCCCTTACAGATCATGTGTCGAGGCTCGATCTTGTTACGAGCATGTGGTTGATCGATCACTCTAAAGTGAGAGAGTGAGGCTGCTTTATTAGTTTGGACTAATCAATTAGCTGAACAGCTGCAATTGAAGCTATTTTTTCTCTTAATTTCTGCGTTAGAGCTACGCGGACTGTCATTACCCCAGCTGCAGGTCCACTTAATCGAACTTTTACGATGAAGTCATTAATTTGAACAAGCTCCAGCAAGCCACCACCAGTGCCAGCAAGATATGGTCTTATCTCTGCAAGAACCTGAAAGATCAAATGGAATTGCATCAGTTTTTCATCAGGTAATTGGTGTCTTTACTTAATTCTTTTAATCATGGAAGACAATTAGCTCACTGGAGCCACAGTAAAAATCTTCAAAAGTTCTGAGTGACTTCCAGTTGCTGTCAAATTGTCGGTTTCTACTAGGGACAGCTAGATATTAACTATAAACTTGATAATCATTTTTGAGAATTGAACTGCAAAATTTGTCAAAGTGGAGGTAGAAATCACTGAAGTTTAAGAATAGGAACATATCCATCATTAATTTATTGTAACCAATATTCCTCAAGGTCCCGTAGATAAACCACATCAAGCCAAATTGTCCATTGGATCTAGGTTTTACCAAGTCGTGCCAGAGAATTTTAGTAGCACACTTGCCCCAGTTATAAATTCTATATCGACGTACTCTGTTACATACCAATCAATGAATTTCTCATGTGCTATCATAGCCCAAGAAGCATGTGCTGAACGAAGTAAGAAAATGTGCAACTGTGGTTTCAACATCACTAACTACACTACTTATTGTTTCTAAAAGGTCATATTTCCATTTGAACAATTCATGCAAAGCTAGAACCTGAAGTTACAATAGGTCATGGACAAATATGTTGAGCATAATAATTTCAAGATAATATACTTGGTGAAGGATTGAATCTGCAGTGATGACAGCCAAAATGTTCAAGCAGTATTATGGATCGAACATCCATAGATTATCAAGAAGGCAATCTCAATGAGCTTTGCAACGCATGATCCATCAATTATTGACTGTTCTCAGAAGTCATCAAGTTGTTTTACTGAAGTGTGACAATGCTGCTGTCTTCGTTTCAGATGTTTCAGGATCCACTAATGCAATGCCCTTTTCAGTAGTTATTTGGATAATTAAGGTCATTATATATCTCATGGAAATTAGATTAACTGAGATATCATACATAATGATATCTTAAAAGCTGAACATGTTGAGGTGTGTATTATTTACACTACAGGAAGCTAAGAACAAGATTAAGTTTGGTTGTGAATTCAGAGAGGAAAACTGTCGGTAAAAAAAAAAAAGAGAGAAAAGGAACACTGTTACTCTTGAGTTGTTTGGTAGATGTGTCTCAACAAATAAATGCACTCATTATTATCGCCTCGGATGAAAATGGCAAGTTTATTGATAAATCAGACATCACATATATCCACTGATACTGTAAAAAAGATGTTTCTTGTTAACTTGCCTATGCATTTAAATAATTCTGAAGCATCAAACTTTTCGATACAGTAAAGATAGAAAGCATCATAGATACCGTATAATCTATACATTGAGGAGTGAATGGGTGATCGTATTAGCAAGTAGAATCCGTTAAAATGTATCAACCTTGCAGGAAAAAAATGGTGAGTTCTAAGGCATTAGGCCAGAAGGATCATGTTACCTTCTCAACATTCTCCTCATTGAGCTCTAGTCCAGTCTCAGTATCTAGGATCTGCTCGACTGCTTCAATCTCTGGGATTTTATCCCTCAGCCGTGTCTCTATCCCCATCTTCAATGTCATCGTTGAGCTTGGGCATGAACCACATGCCCCTTGCAGCTTCAACACCACGACAAGGCCATCGATCTCATGCAGGGCCACATTCCCTCCATCGGCCATTAAACTCGGCCTCACCTCATCCAAAACCAGCTCGACGTTCTCCTCGGTCAATGGCAGAACACAGACTGGCTTAACTACCACATGATGTCAAGAGCCACCGCTAAGCCATATCCGCAAACAACATATGTGCATCATGCTCAAATTACAACGTTACCTGCTCGGCGTCTCCTTCCACGAACCGAAACCAATCGGAAGGAACGGCGTGAATCCAGTTGTCCTCTGCAGAAGGAACTCTGTCTTGATGACAGCAATGGCGAATTCAGAGAAAGATTACTGACAAGCGTATTTCTGCTTTCGTTCAAGTACAAGTAGAAGCCTGGAAGAAAGCACTTTACGACATAAAGGGAATTGCAGCTATATGAGATCAGTACCTTACAGAAGGCTAACTGGGAAGTTGATAGGAGTTCAGATGAGGAGGTGAATGGTCTGACTGCTGCTGCAGCCTTTGCTACTGAGCCAAGGCCTTGAGGATGGGCATAGAGCATCCCCATCTAAATCTTCTAATTACTTCTTCTTCACTTCCTCTTCCTCCTCCTCTTCTGATCACTGTTTGGGAGTACCCATGGCAGACGGTTTGGAGAGGGTGAGGTGGGGTTTCTCAGAACTCTCCGGTAGATCTCAAAATCTAGCTTGCTTTTGTGGATAGAATGCCTCTTCTGACCGGGGGACTGGATATGGCCACGTAAACCTGCTCACGGTTGTCCCAACATGCATGTTTCCTTTTCTTGCTGGATTCCCACCATCCTTTTATACACTTCGTTGTCAAACGATAATTTTGATTTAGTTTTTTATTTTATATTTAAAATATATATATAAAAAAATATTGAATATATTTTTTTTATAAAATTTATATATATGAAAAATTAAATAGGTGCATGATATTAAATAAATAAATAAATTAAGTTAGTTTTTGACTGTTCGAACTAAATGTTGATTAGAAATCAATCAAAATCTTTTTTCACTGTAATCTCTGTTAAATCTTAACTTGTCTAACCATATGAGTATCGAATATTATAAAATTATATTTATAATGTTCCAAATAAATATCTTTTTGATAGTTAAGTTAATCTCAAGGGTTCAAATAATTTAAAATAAATTCTCAAGTTATATAGTTATGTAGTGAACTTCTAAAGTTGTTACTCCCGCGAATTCTGTATTGCTTTCAAGCTTAATTATATCATGATATTATAGTACATTGAATTCAGAACATAATAATAATAAGATCGATTTGACTATAAGTCATTGAGTTATATATACCCATGATATCATATATGTGTTGAACAGGTAGCTCTAAAATATCATCCATGTATCGATTATATCGTATTAAGGTAATGTTGAAGTATCTGCTAGTCTCTGTTCCCACATAAAGTGTAAAAAAGAGAATTAATTTGAGAAAATTATAGATAAAATCCCACCTCTCAATCTCTCCTCTTTTCTTTGTATCATTCATCAGAAAAATGTACAAAATTTCTTCTAAGATTGCAGCTAGTTTGTGCATTGATAGGTAAAGGACAATGCATTGATGATGCATGAATGAATGTTGCAACCAGATCATAAAATCCATTGTTGATATTATAGTGCAGAAATGGAGCCCAGCATTTTAGGATAATTAGATTTCGGTGAAGGTTTAACATATAATAGACTGAAGCAACAGTAAACTAAGCCATTACAGACTAACACAGCAGCTTAAATTAGGATCTAAAAGCATGATAGATATGAAGATTTCCCATGCAAAACTAGCAAACATTTCACATCCAAATGCTCTAATTGTGTACTGGTGGATGGCGGCGCGGCCTGTAATGGTAGTCCCTGTTCAGCATCTTGAAGATTTCCTCTCGGAGGTTTTGTTTCCGAGTGATCTGAAATGAATCATGTGGCCAAGTGGGAGCAGAAAGCTTTGATCCTGCTGAAGAACCCAAGCTTGCATGGCCAGATGAGGCCTCGAATGCTTTGGGTTTGCTCTGTGAATCACTTGCTTCATTTTTGCAGTTGGGGATGACATTGATGCTGGTTTCCTGAGACATACAGAAGGCAACAAGCTATTAGCTTCTTATGGGAACAATGAAACTACAAACTCAATGGTTTGTGTTGCTGAGACATTGAAATTTCTGCAAAATAGTCACCAATCTAAACAGGTTCAGCAAGGCATGAACATGTACCTCTGTGATTGATGGTTCAAGTGATTCATTCGAGGAGGTCTTTGCATTCCCTGCACAGAGAAAAAACAAGTGTTCAAGTGGAATAAAGTCTAATTTTCCGCAAGGTCAATCATGCTGGCTGTCTCAGATTGAAACCTATGTTTTGAATCACGCAGAACATGTAGAGTAATCTCATATGGAATTTGTAGATCCATTAAACATCAGACATGCAGCATACAAACTGTGTCTCCCTCTTATCACTTAACAGCTACAGATGATAGAGATTTAAATGGCTTAAAAGCCTTTGCCTCAGTTGTTCTTTGGAGGGTGTTTCCTTGGTGCACTGTAATCAGAACTGAAAGGCACAAGACCAGCATAGTGAACCCTAACAGGGCGAGATCGATGTTTCAAGCCACACCCTGATCTCATGATCCCATCTCCTCCATTCCCACATTGACTAACGAGGTGATCTGCACCTGTGTTTGCTGTGCTTCTTGCTGCCTTCACCTCCTCCACCACCATCATTCTTCCTCTGAGCCATTTCTCTCTACTGGTACCAACAATAGTTGTGGTTTCGCCACCAAGTTCCTGGTAACATTGTCAACTCTTAAAGCAGCTCCATAAAGAAAAAAAATGCTGGTTACAAGGAGAGGCTCGTGCAAATGGTGTCTACCTCATGACTCTTGCAATAAGCTGCAATATCTGCAATGGAGGAATTGAGTGTCGAAGGATGAGCGCTACTACAGGCATATATATATGTCTAAACCACAGAGAGGATAAGTATCAACCTCTTCGAGCAAGGGCAGCATAGTCCTCCAAAGCAATCAGAGACAGCAAAAGCACAATGGCAATTCTTGTAGACCTCAAGTGCACCATGACTTTTTCCAGACCAGAATATCTGTCATGCAAGCAGAAAGGGAGGAGAAAACATTTCACAGGTTAGGCTTTATAAGTAAGGATTATACTTAACTGATAGGTCAAAGATAGGGTTCCAACATCTCCATTGCATTCACTTCTGAGATGGCCTCTTGTTTTTATTCATCTCGTTTACTGGTGTACTTTGAAGGACTCAAAGCTTGTTCTTGTGATCAGAGAAGAAAAGACAGAGGTGCTCGAATCTTTAGAGTCGAGTAGGGTGGAAGACACAGGTGTTTGGTGTCTGTCTGCCGCCATGCATGCATCGACGCAGGTAATCAAGCTTTGGCAGCCGTGGTTTTGCCAACCAAACAAACCCAAGGATCTTGGTGTACTAATTTATGCCATGATAAGATCCTGATCCCAAAATGAGCACCAATCCAGATCATGGTCCAACACTTTCCTTTTTTCTAAAGCTTTTGCTGCTGATCTCCTTCGAGTGTGACTGGAGGTGTTGAGATTCTTTCGACAGTAGTGGAAGACAGTCTTAAGCTTCTGCACCAAGGTTTGAGAGGGAAGAAGACAGAGGCATGGATATTTCTTATTACGATTTATAAGCATAAAATCTTGAAAGAATTCTTGAGATTAGAGATATGTATGCTCTCCACATCCAGTTAGGGATCATCTTAAATATGTGAAACAAGTTCCCTAAATATGTTACAGTGTCAGTGAGGAGTGGGAGTTTTCTGTGCTGGTCGCAGCCCATAGGATTAATGAAGTTTAGAATGCATCTAAGCAGATCTACAGGAAGTTTTCTTGGAGTGAGTTGTAGAGTGAAAGGCCATTTGGGAGTCTCCAGTCTCATGCTACCTTCGATGAGGAAGTTGTTCTTGATTTCATCACTCGACGGCAAAGGTCTGTTGACCAAACCATGTGATCCTTCTGCTCGGAGAAGAAGTTTGAAGGTGCAGAGAGTGGGCAAGCGACTGCAGCACCCACGATGGCAAGATCAGAAATCGATCACAGGGTTCATGGGTTCACCATCAGACAGGCTGCTACGAAGAAAGAGGGGGGAGATGGAGGTGGCCTGAAACACGAGGTCGCGCCACCCATCGAACTCGACCTTCTTTATCGGGGGCGGTCATCGATGGTGCGTGAGAGAAGTCTCAGTGGAGGGCATGTGGCGGTACGTTCTACCAAGGAAGAGGGACCGCCATTGTTTCTTGGTGCAGGAGCTGCAGCACGGTTCTCCACAGCGGTCCGTACAAGTCCTGATGCGACTTGGGAGGAAATAGATCGGGGACTGGAGCATGCTTGGGCTGCACTTTCTTTCACCACTAGCTTCCATGGTGATGTGCTTGCTCGTTTCTTGTTCCTTGTTTGAACCATCATATCTCACTGCCCACAGAACTCTGAAACAGAACAGGCTACCGAAAGCAGTGACTTCTACCACTGGAGGGGTTGGGAATGATGATAATGTGATGAGGTCTAAGATTTTATATGCATGATTATGTTTCGATCACTGCAAAGATCAGCACAAAGCTGGGGACCCAAAATAATGCACAAGGATGAACACAAACAATATTTGTCAATCAAGACTCAGCCAACCCAAATTACAAAACAAATGCTTAAATTCGCAAATCCAAGTCTCAAGTAGGCATATCATGAAGAGATACAGATTGTAGTTTCTTTATATCATGAAGTAATGCAGATTGCAGTTTGTTTTCCAACAAAGAAACATATTTATCAAGCATCGATATTCGATACAACAGCCTCAAACTCGGTAACCTGCTGGTCTATCTTCTCAATTTGCTGGGCGTACTCAAGAGTCTTAAACCGGATGCAACATCTCCGTAGCCATCGTATTCCTCAGCTACTCTCTGGTTCATTGTCTCCAGAAGCAAGAGTTGATTATTTGTACCCTGAAACAGGAAAATCCCCATCACAATGAGAGGAGAAAAAAAGAGAAAAACTCAGATGGCAAGCATTAAGCAGAAATAGGGCACTGGGATGGCTTCGGCTTGCATCACTTAGCACATAGATCTACGTAAGCATATAATTCTAATACTATCAGTAAAGTAATTAGATATATGTTGATTAATTACACTGAAAAATCATCATAGTACAACAACAACAAACAATTACATCCTAACTATTTAGGATCAGTTATTGAGATTTGTGTAAAGTTAAGAGCATTCAAAGTATTATTGTTTAAACTTTTTCAGGTCTCCATCTATCTTTCCTCGCATTGCTAATCTTAAGAAACTCATTTTGTCTACCTACAAAATTTTAGATGATTCCTTTCTGTATTATCCTATATTGAAGCTACACATAATTGTTCATAAGAGAACATGATTTATAAATACATAATTGTTCATAAGAGAACATGATTTATAAATGAAATCAAATTCATCATGAGTCAGGTGTGCAAGTTTTTTCCTTTTTCGGTGGATAAAAGAAATGCACAAATTCAAGATGTCTAGCATGTCATCTCACTTTGCAAATGCATGCCTCTTACAGTGCATCATTAACAAAATGCTGCTATGTGTACTACACGAACATGAGAATAGCACTTATGCAAAATGTAATGAAAAGTATAATAACATTTACTTTCTTTCAAAAGTCTGCTGCATGTTTCTTATATATCATAATACAGTAAGCATCTTACAGGCACTTCCTATGTATGTCTGTATGTATGTATACCCTAATGAAATATAGTTGGAAAAGAACCTATTTCTCCAGCACCAAATAATTATCTATCAGAATATTCTTCAAGAATTTCCCATTCTAAGCCTGCTGGTTAAGGAATCAGTCCAGAACAGATGTGTAACCAAAAAAGATGAAATATTTCTCCATACTTGGCATTCCAATATCGTTAATGTTAGAACCATATTTCAAGAACATACATGAGCAGTACCTTCTTGGTCAATTCTGCATTGCTGTGAAAAGATAGGGGTTTTTCCCTCATAAAAAGGCATCAATTAACCTAACATGATTGTCATACCACTTGATGCTACCCGGCCATCACGGGCACAGATAAGTGCCAATATTGACAAAAGCATTTTACTCATCGATCTTTTGCATTCACAAATGCAATGGACAACATACTTGAATCATGTCTTTAGACCTAATAGCTACAAAGAAGTGGAGCCTTAAAAGTCCTTCAAATCCTAACTATTCGTGTCTAAATTAATCCTGTCCCAGAAATCAACTCCACAAAGGGTCATTTCCTCCTCCGAATCCTGTTTTGTCGAGTTAGTGGACAAAACTTTTGGTGCACTACATTGTGTTTATTGCCAATACCAAAATGATCTCATATGATGTTTCCTATGTTATTCCCAGGAAGTGTTACCTCCATCTTGCACTCAATGCAGTCAGTCTCTCTTCTGTAATCTTTAAAAGTATGCTCTACATGAATGGAAGATAGAAATGAAACAAGGACATTTATCCACATGAATTCGCAACAGTCGAACACAACAACACGCAGAACATCCTTCTGTCAGGGTAAACCAGATTCCCAAACTACTAAATCGCAAGGAAAATTCCGAAAGAAGCAAAATTTATGGAAGTAACACACAACAATCCGAGGATTTAGGATAAAATTGATTCAAAACAGGGCTGATTCTGTAACCAGACAAACACATGTTACGTCGTGGAAAGGAATCGAAGAGACTACTAAGCAGGGGACCTGAAGCTCGCCCTTGATCATGGTGGAGACGTTAATGAAGACATCCTCTAACGACTGTGCGAGTTCGTCTCTCCCCGTCTTCCCCTTCTCCTCCGCCATCGCCTCCTCCGATCGGTCGTCTCCGAAACCCCCTTTTACGTGAGCCCGAGTCGGAAGAGATCCCACATGGAGCCTTGCTGGCGTTAAAAAGTTCTCGATTATTAATATTTTAGTAATAGTAATAAAAAATACAAAAATATTATTATAAATTAGAGGTTTTCTAATATAAGCTTGGATATTTTAATGGAGTGCACAACCCTCCAAGTAAGTCGATATTAAGTGTATATATAACCTTATATTTAGAGAAATAAATATATAAGTTTAGGAAAAAAAAAAAAACCTAAGCTTTTATTGTAATCTATTAGAGTATTTTTATTTTCTAAAAAATAAAATTATTTTTTATCTACGTTTATACGATTCTTTCACGCAAAGCCTAACCCTACATATATAAAGCCAACATGGGATGACGAGATATGGCTTTCGTTTTATCATCGTTTGTGAAGCTCGCAGTCCCTACTTTATCCTCTCCTGCATCACCAACTGCTATCTTATCCTTTTTCTCCTTGCTATTTGTGTTTGAAAGCGAGATGAGATAGTCAACACAAAGGACAAAGGCTTCATGATAGCAGCTTAGGGTATATGTAGAGAATCCTTGTAGATGAATGTGACGATAACAAAGATGATGAGATTTTATATGAGCCATTGTTACCTCCAGGATGAAGATAAGATGCGAAGGTAGCCACGATGGAATGACCGGATGAAGTCGATCACAACGGGATGAAGACGATGATAGACGGGATAAATATCAAGGGTTATCTCATATTTAAAAAAATAAGAAGTGCTATACGATTTTTTTGTATTTGACTTATAATTTATGTAAAAACTAATTAATTCTTAAGAAAATATTTTTGTTTGATTTACTACATCGATCTTGGTCAACCATTTGGTCAACCCACGCGACTTGGCTGACTGCAACTATGGAACAGGCCAAAAGTCAACCGCGATAGTCATAAAAGAGAAGAAAGCATGAACGCCACTGCCGATGACCTTCGTTACCTTCCATCCCCACCTTCTCTCCAAGCGCTCCTCGCTCTCTCCAAGGTCTCTCCTCAAATGCCTCGCCTACGTCGCTTCCTTCTCCACCACTCCCCTCGGTCCACGTCCCCTCGCCAAGATGACCTTCTACCATGTATTCCAGCAATGCTCCAAGCACCACGATGGCGACACCGGCGGCCAAGCCCATGCCCGAATGCTCGTCTCCGGCTTCGTCCCCACCACCTTCGTCGCCAACTGCTTGATCCACATGTACATCACATGCTCCAACTTGGACTACGCTCATCAGGTGTTCGTCCGTATGCCCCAAAGGGATACCGTCTCTTGGAACGCCATGATCGCCGGATACGCGCGGAATGGGTCGGTGGATGTCGCCAAGTCCCTATTCGATAGAATGCCCGAACGAGATGTGATCTCGTGGAATTCGCTGATGTCCGGGTGCTTGCAAAATGGGGGGTTGTACGAGCCCATAAATCTCTTCATCCAGATGCTGTGGAATGGGATCGTTCCGGATCGAACTACGTTCGCCGTCATTCTCAAATCCTGCGCTGCGTTGGAGGAACTCAACATGGGAATCCAGATTCATGGCGCGGTCGTTAAGATGGGTTTGCATTTTGATGTGGTTACCGGGAGTGCTCTTGTGGACATGTATGCCAAGTGCAAAAGCCTGGACGAGTCAATATGCTTGTTCAGTGAAATGCCAGAGAGGAACTGGGTTTCTTGGAGTGCTGTGATTGCAGGTTGCGTTCAGAATGAACATTATGCCACGGGGTTCGAAATGTTCATAGAGATGCAACGAGCTGGTGTTGGGCAGAGTCAGTCAGCTTACGCAAGTGTTTTCAGATCCTGTGCTGCATTATCCTCTGTCAAATTAGGCAGACAGTTTCATGGGCATGCTTTCAAGAACAATTATAGTTCTGATGTCATTGTTGGAACTGCCATTATGGATATGTATGCAAAAGGTGATAGTTTGGATGATGCTAGGAGAGTGTTTCAATGGCTGCCAACCCGCTCCCTGCAATCTTGGAATGCCATTATCGTTGGATTTGTGCGCAATGATCAAGGGCATGAGGCCATCGAGCTATTTAAACTCATGAATCACTCTGGTGTTGGCTTTGATGAGATCAGCTTATCTGCTGTTCCGAGTGCCTGTGCAGAGGTCAAAGGGTATCTGCAGGGTCTGCAAGTTCATTGCTTGGCTCTAAAGTCTGGAGTTATTTCTGATGTCTGTGTTGCAAATGCAGTTTTGGATATGTATGGAAAATGTAAAGCTCTGGAAGAAGCTTGTGATATTTTTAAGGAGATGGATTGGAGAGATTCAGTATCTTGGAATGCAGTTATTACAGCATTCGAGCAGAATGGACAATATGAAGAGACATTGTTGCACTTTCATCAGATGTTGCATTGTGGCTTGGAACCTGATGAGTTCACTTACGGAAGTGTTCTCAAAGCTTGTGCAGGACTGCAATCTTTGGATTGTGGAGTTAAAGTTCATAATAAGATGATCAAATCTGGGCTTAGTCTGGATTCTTTTGTTGGAAGTGCTCTTGTTGACATGTACTGTAAATGTGGAATGATGGGAGAAGCACAGAAACTCCATGACAGAATAGATAAGCAGACATTGGTATCTGCAAATGCAATAATATCGGGGTTCTCACTCCAGAAACAAAGTGAGGAAGCACAGAGCTTCTTCTCCCAGATGCTAGATAACGGCCTAGAGCCTGATAATTTTACTTATGCAACTGTTCTCGATACTTGTGCAGATCTAGCTACAATTGAACTAGGGAAGCAAATCCATGCTCAGATAATGAAGCTAGATTTAGACAAGGATGTCTTCATATCGAGCACCCTTGTTGACATGTATGCCAAGTGTGGAAACATGAATGACTCTCTGCTGACATTTGAAAAGATGCTTAATCGCGATTTAGTATCATGGAATGCCATGATATGTGGATATGCTTATCATGGACTTGGACTAGATGCACTGAGAATGTTTGAGAGGATGCAACTAGAAAAGGTCAGACCAAACCATACAACATTTGTAGCGGTTCTTCGGGCCTGTGGGCATGTTGGTTTGTTTGATGAGGGCATGTCCTACTTTCATCTGATGACCAATCACTACAAGTTGGAGCCACAATTAGAGCACTATTCTTGCATGGTGGATATAGTAGGCCGCTCGAAAGGGATCATTGAAGCCTTGGAGCTCATTGATAAAATGCCATTTGAAGCTGATGCTGTTATATGGAGAACTCTTCTGAGTGTGTGCAAGATTCAAGGGAATGTGGAGGTGGCAGAAGTTGCGGCAAATAGTCTACTGGTGTTGGATCCTGAGGATTCATCCTCTTGTGTTCTTCTATCAAACATATATGCGGATGCTGGAAGATGGGGAGAGGTGTCAAAGATGAGAAGGTTAATGAGGCAGAGTAAGCTTAAAAAGGAACCTGGTTGCAGCTGGATAGAGATAAAGAATGAATTGCACACTTTTCTTGTAGGAGACAAGGCTCATCCTAGATGCAGTGAGATATATGAAGGGTTGGATGAACTAGTTGCCGAGATGAAGTGGGTAGAGTGTCCACCTAACCTGGATTCATTTATTGAGGATGAGGAAGAGGATCAGCAAGAACATCTTGCAATGGGTAATGGATGAGCCACTCAAACGAGAACGATGTATTAAGCTTTTTTGCACCAAACAAGAAATAGATGCTCTAAATTATTCTTTCTTAAGCAACAGCCTAAAATGGGTTAGGAAGTGTATACCATTTGGTCATATGTTTCTTTGAATGGTTGGCAGGCCATCAGTCCCTGGTTAAGATGGGTCACTCAAATAACGGGGGTTAAATCAAAGATGACAGACTTGAGGTTTAATGTTTTTGTCTCCAAGTTCTTCTCAAGTTCCTTTTGAGCTCCAACTGACATCTTTACCGATCTACTTGCTTAGAGAGTTGCAACATCGTGAACTTCTGATTCTGTTTTGAAGGTATAATTTGAACTCTTTTCTTCCCTATTCAGCTGGTTTCGTGTTAAAATTTTGTTCTAAAGTTACTTGCAAAATTCAGAGAATCATTCGCAATGGTATGAGAAACAAGCATGGTGTGGTTACTGTCGTACGGAAATTCAGCTGATGAATGAATCTCATGCTGTTGTATCTGATACCATCTTTGTTTGATGGTTCAATGCTTTTGCCAGGTCAAGGGATACTTCCAGAGTTTCCTAATGCATTGCTTGACTTTTGAAATTAGTCTCGGATATTTCGTCTGTCGTGGATCGAGTTTTTTGAATGAAAACAGATAGCTGTGGTACGGGATCTGCATGTTTTCTAATGGCCCTGGAGGAGGGATTGTTGCATCCTTATCAGAAGCATTGTGGCATGAAACCATGTGATCGGCTCGAAGCACTCTTGAGATGCCATGTTGTCGAGTTAGCTCAGTCAGGATTTAGATGCTGGCAGCAGTGATGATACTGTATTATGTGCGTGTAATTTGGAAGAAACATTTGAAGTTTCGGAAATAGAATTCTAGTTTTAAATCTTCAATTTAGCTTTGTATGCAAGCTATACTGTCCCTTTTTTAATCATCATTTCTTCAATGCTTAATGATGTTGAAGCATCGACCTACTCCACTCTTGAATGTTTGATTGTTACTGTCTGATTGTATTATTCGAGTAGGAAATCTTAAGAACTTTACTCACCAAGATGATGACTAATGTTTCCACTGTAATTGAACAACAATACAGGGTTGCTTGTTAATGCCAAAACAGTAGAATAGAACAGAAACTTCATTCAGCGATCATATCTCATATCATTCTTGTTGACTGCTCAAAAGAAAAGCATACCAAAATCACATTTACAGACAGTTACCGCAAACACTAAAAGAGGGATTTGTATTAAAACTACCACCTCAGATATAGGCTGTTGATAAATACAACAAAGCTTTCCACATAAACGCAGCTTACAGTAGAATACAAAGTCTAATTCACAAACCAATCTGTTGTCTTTTAGGGTGAGTATTTTGTTATGAGCTTGTCAACATGAATGATAATATCGTCAATGTTCGGCCGCGCTGCAGGTTGGGGCTGTAACATCCACACCACGAACTGGTGGAGACTCTCAGGATAAGGAGGGTTCAACCCAGATGGCCATTTTACCTGTGCATTCATGACAGCTAACTGTAAGCTCCCTCCTGATTCGCCGAGCACGTACTCAAAAGGTGATGTGCCATACCTGCCAAGAACCAAACAGATGATAACAGGTGAGCTATTGTAATTAATAATACCATAATGGGGAAAAATTGTAATGATAGTTCACTTGTAATTAAGGTTTTTCCATGCCTGTAGTGACAACACTTGGTTTTTTTTTAATGTCTCAAACATGCCATAATATAATTAATAATTCAGTAATTCTTTAAGGTAGGTGTTCTGTAAGTGGTAAAAAGTAAGAAAAAAGCTAGAACTGAAGAAAATATCATTTCAACTGTGTAAAATTAGATTCAAGCAACATATCCATTGATCATTGTCATCTTTGCTAGAATTAAACTGAGACTCGAATTGGCCTTATCAACCACATACATCGATAGTCCTATTGGTCAATGCAATATTATTTTTGTGATTTGCTGTTGATCTTCTCAAGTAAATGACATTATTCGGTCAATTTATATAGAGAAAAGTCTGAAGTTTGAAGCACAACAAAATAAGTCATGTAAATCGCACCATAAAAAGAAAATGGTATGTAACACGAGCAAAGGAGCAGCAGAACATAATAATCAACAAGAGAATTGCATAGAGTCCAAACACAAAAAAGGTACATGAAATTCTCACATTATCGCATATAGGGTACATCCGAGAGACCAGATATCTGTCCTCTCATCGATATCAGCATGGCTTGGACAGTCCCACAATTCAGGAGCTCGAAAAGGTGCAGAACAGTGCTCACTAGCCCATTCCTATGAATAAATACATCAAATAAGTGAAAATATGTTAAGACTGCATCAGCTTGTTGAACAGCAGCATTTTTCCTGTTAATCAAGTCAATGTAATAGAAGCAGGAAGTAGATGATGTGACTGTCAAAAGGGGTTGGTAAATACCTAAAGTATATTGAAGCTATATTACCAAAATTTCGGGTAAAACTCAGTCAGAGAACTACCATGGCATCAAAACATAAGAACTTATTATTTTGAAACTGTATTATTTACAATACTTCATTTTTTTTTTGGATATTTCAGTGACAGTTTCAACTTTCAAGTTAGCTCTTCAAGCAAAAATGATAAATCCCTGTAAAAGAATCACCTTGAAATAAGTCTAGTGTCTTGTGATCTTGCTGATTTGTAACTTTTGAGGATATCATGATTAGAACAATGATAACATATACAATATTTACAACCAAAATCCTTGTCTAAAATTGATCCATACCTGCAACTGTAATGCCTCTGACCTTGAACGAATTTCTTTTCTTGCTGGACGTGCACTACCAAAATCCATTAAAATAGCAAGAGGAGGCTGTCCCTTCCTGTGAGTAATGAGAACATTACCAGGTTTCACATCATTATGAGCATATGGAGGATCAAAACTGTGCATGTGCTTCAGACCACCACAAACCTGTATGTAAACAGAAGGCAACATGTTAGTCTAGTACCTGTATATGACTAGATTGGTAAATTACTAAAAAAATACATACTGACAGGTGAAGAACTGGAGAATAGGAAAACAATGCAGACAAGTTCAAGTGACAGCAAACTTAGGTCCCAAACATAAAGCTTCATGTAAACCCAGATCAGTATTCCACTGGAATACAAAGTCGTACTTTTGCAAAGACAAATCAAATAATATGTCTTCCCATCAATCTCTTGTGTATATTTGCAAAAATGACACTCTTCACTGCTTCTAGCAGCTTAAAGTATCTTTAGACAGACTAAGTGATTACAATTTTATGCAGTAGATACTGCAATAATTTGACAGGAATAACACTTGGTCAAAGGCAATCTTTCTCCGCTTAACACATAATTAGGATGAAAAAAATGCTACATTAATGTAGAAATATTAAGTATCCATTTTTTCTCATCCAACCACAGTATCAGGATCAGGTGGGTTTGGAAACACTAGATATTTAGTTACAGTGATGCAACTAGATTATAAGTAGAAAGCACAAAGATTAGAGAAAACTTCCAAAGATTGCAAGCCAACCTATCCACTTTAACAACCACTGAATGCTTTTGCACAATATATAAGAAATACAAAAAGTTGAAAAGCAGCTTTTAGAAAAAGTTAGGTAGTGTTGGGGGATGAAAATAATTTGAATCTCAATCAGAGCAACACAGCATCTAAGACGAGTTATTTTCAGAGACCACTTCCTTTCAAGCTGATGATTATATTTTAATAGTTTCCAACTATTAAAAATATAATTAGTTAATTCTAACTCTTATATCTTATGGAAACATGTTCACCATGATGAAACCTTTGTTTTTTTGACAGGCAACCGGTGCAGCGGACAAAATATAATTTCATGAGCTACTTAATGAATTTCCATTAGTTTCTGTTTCAGTTTTGTATTAATATTCGATGGCTCTCCATAAGAACATGATGTTTAACATTTGAAAACTTACATTACGTCTTATTATCAAAGTTAAATAATTCTGAAGCACAATAAAGTCCTATTTTTCACTGTCACAACTCCTAGCATAAATACAGAAGAAACAGCAGCCCTTGTTTGTGTATTGGATCAACAGAAGGAACTGGAATAATTGAACCCACTATAGACCAAATCACAGTAGAAGTAATATGAACAAAAATAGCACATCTAAGTACTTTAGAGTCCACCAAGCAAAGAATATTTGATCAAAATAGCAAGTATTATTCAATTGAAATCAATTCTTGTAAAAAGATAGCTTCCATGAGTAAGACAAATTCAGAATCAAAGAATAAATATACAAGAGGAAGAGAGGAAGATGAATGTACCTGTCTGAAAATATGAAGAACAGTAATTGTTGTAAAGCTTTCCTTTTTCAATTGCATAGCTTCGGCTATGTCAAGTAAAGTACCATCTAGGTGAACCGGGAACAGTAAGTAGGCTTCATGCTTAAGTGATCCATCTTGCATCCCCTACACACAAATTAGTGAACTATTACAACTTATCAAGTTGAAGACATATCCCATCGCACAGTTTGAGATGCAAATAAATGCCCGGAGAGTATCTAAAGTGGTAAAATTTTCTCCCCGAACCAGTAGCACAAACCAGGCCATGAAAAGTATATATAAGATTGCATGCGACAATTTCAGCTTCGAAAACAAGTTATAATTTCAAGTGTTAAAACATTTGGCAAAATGTCTCTGTTGAGATAACCGAGTTGGTTAGTGCAATGTTGCACAAGTGATAGTCTCATATTTGACTCCTTGTGTAAGCATCACGTACACCATTTGATGTAAGAGAAATTTCTTTCAATTTTTTTTTAACTTTTGAAAATTACCTTGCCTATCAGGAAAGTAAATAATTTTTATATTAACTATGTTGATGCTCTTATGATGAAGGATTTAAATTATCATCCAACACTAGTTTTAACAATTGTTCAGATCAGGGTAATACAGGTATACCAAGCGGTATATGGACCTACACCACCCCTGTATCACCAGAAAAAAATAAAAATTCAATTCTAAATTGTACTGGCCTATATGATCCAATAACGGTCGTTTATTGGATCAATAAATACTAGTCAGTATGTACCAAGCTGACCAGTATTTGAAATCTCATATAAACCTTGCTTCTAAAGGATTACTTCATAATGACCACAAACTAATCATTTCTTATATGATCCTTAATCAATTCTTTAATTAAAAATTATTTAATGATTGTATGTACGATGTAGTTAAACTATATATAGAATCAATTACCTTCACTGGAGACTTGTCAATTTACAGTCAATAGTCAAGTAAAACCAGTCATAGGGCGGGCCTTGGTACAATGGTAAGGTTACTCTTTTGTGACTTGGGAGATCAAGATTCGAGTCCCAAAAATAACCTCTTTAAATATTTAAAGGTAAGGCTACCTTTGTTGACCCTCTCTAGGCCCTACAATGGCAGGAGCCTCGTGCATGGAGTATGCCATTTAGTCAAGCAAAACCATGTTGCAAAGAAAGATTGGATGATGACGACAATGCTAATCATCTTTTCTTTACACTGTAATGTTTCTCGATAACTGTGGTTAACAACTGTGCAGGCAGTGATATCAAACTTTAGTGCACTTGCAACAGGTGTTTTCTCGTAAACAATCTAAAATAATGCTAGGATTCAGTCATGCCATTAATAAGATATGTCCCTTCGCTGAAAATATTTGGTTTAGATGTCAACAATCATCACAACTTTAAGGAGTCCATTCAGTATTACATGCTTAACAAAGGCCCAACAAACAAGAAAGAAGATTGCTTTTATTACATACAGAATGGAGGCCATGATATGAATACGGAAATGCTCATATAAACGTAGAGCTTTCTGGTCTGAGTCATTGTTATTTAACTTTATACGTTGAGCAAGCATGTGTGTAAGAAAATTTGACAGAACAAAATATACAAACTCTGCAAAATGATTGTCATGATGGATGTATCATGGTAATTCAGTGTTATCCTATATAAATATTCTCAATAGCTACTAATCAAGCAACTATCTCATGCCTGAATTACACCGATACAAAATGGATCTTACAACAAGCATTAAATTAATCAATTATGAATTCACCAAGCATATGAAGTCTTGATATATTCCATATAATCACAGTTCTGGTTAATGCAATATGTAGTAAATGAGTTCACACCCACAGTCAGATGGTAGAGACTCAACGAACACTCTATCAACTCAGAAAGTATTGCTTCAATACAAAAGCAATACAAATTGTCCCTAATACCAAGCCAATATAGAGATCTAGCTAAAATGATTAGTAAGCATATTGGCTTCCTAGCACCAAAATAACACCAAGTACTTTAAACAAGAAAGTTCAGAGTACCTTAACGGGAATGATTGCATGATCGAGGAGGGGAAGCAGATTAGGGTGACTGAAGAGGGACGAGACACGGATCTCCTGCCTAACCAACTCCAACTGCTCTTCTGTTTGAATGATGATTTTCTTCATGGCATACGTTCCATCATCTAAAGATACGTACAGAGTCATATTAAACTGGTCGATAAAAGCACTATTGAAACAACATTAGAATCCGAAATGAACCATTATTCCTTTATGATTTCACCCGATCAATAAATTCGATAAAAAAAAATAGCCCTTTTGCTCTTCGCAAATCGTTATAGATCCAAAACGAACGATTTTGCTAGGCAAATACAACGAATCCGAATGCCAATTGCACCAACTCATAGTCGAGATTTTGGTGGAGAACAAGCAAAGAGCAAGCCGAGCGAATCTAGGGAGCGCGAGACCTGAGATGTGGGAGGGGTTGATGGACTTCTTGCGGGCGAGGCCGTCGGCGACTACCTCTTTGACGAGGAAGACGAAGGCGAACCCGCCCTCGCCGAGCTGCCTCACTATCCGGAAGCGGTTCTCGTTGATCCAGACGTCTCCGCCCCCGCTGACGGCGTCATAAAAGGCGTTGAGCCCCGATAACGAGCATCCCATGGTCCCTTCTCTCTTCCTCCCTTCCTCTCTGCTCTCCTCTTGTGAAGCTTGTGTGGATCCTACTGTCATCGATGGAGGAGAAGCATCTCTCTGTAGTTTCTTTTACCTGAGTCATAAATCTTGGAATTAACATGGAAAATGATATGATTTGTGGAAGTAGATCATTGTCGTCAATCTTTTCCTGACCTCAGTCACAAATCTCAAAGCAGTTACGCCCCACTGTCCTTGATAATATTTTCGTCAACTCGATATGCGGCAGTGATGCAAAGGTGCGTGTAATGACAAGATGATCTGCTTTGAGATCCGCGCTGTGACCCTTGAGAGAGGAGTTGTGCCCCTTTGTGGTCCTGAGATCGAAGGCGGCGTTGCAAGCTCCAGCGATCGAAGAGACTGTGAGAGAGGAAGGGGATGAGAAGCACGGTGGGGGACGTGGCCTACAAGGCATTGACGGCAGCGCTGGGCGCCGCCACTCTCTACCTGGGGGCAACCTTCTCCGTCAACCTCTACCGTGGCATCTCTTGGCACTCCGCTCAATCCGCCGTATGGTTTTCTCTTCCATTTTCTTCTGCTTTCTCTTCTTTTATCTTTTTCTTTCGATTCTGTTCGCTGAATTCTTTTTCTAACTTGATCACGATAGTCTGGAAACTGATTGGGGAACGAACGATCTTAGGGTTCAGATAACTGAGGCGAGATTGAGTCACGGCATTTTTAGTTGTTCTGCATAAATTATAGATGGACGAGAAAAGATTGGAACTTTGAGCAATAAGGAGTCCTTGGGAGGGAAGGTGATCTGGGCAAGGAAAGCCTGCAAATTTTTGTAACAGAAACAAAAATGTGTGGGGCAGGAAAACCCTAAATCTTAGTTTTAAAACTATGGCTGGTGCTAAAGTGATGGGGACGATAGATTCAAGTAGTGGGAAAAGCAGCATATAGCTCTGTTTAAAGAACAAGGGCATCATTCATTTCAATCATAAATAAGGAAAACTTTGCTTAGGTTAGGATACAAGTGTAAGTGCCTTTGAGCTTATTTTGCATTTTGGACCCTTTTTTGCAATCTACAATAGTTTGGATGTGTTCCCTATTAAGATTTAATGGTGAGATATAGCTACATGATTTGAGCCCCCTGATGTGGCTCAAATTGGTGAAGGCAGTTCCACATCACACACATGCTACTCTTGGTTTGTGAAGAAATTATTTGGGGATTGTTGGAAAGTTTTAGATGCTTTCTAAATCTTCTGCATTTTCCTGTAACTGGTTTTAAGAAATCCTAATAAATCTTGGTTTCAAATAATTCATTCGTTGCAAAATCTTAAGATTTCAGTCCTCACATGTGTATTATGGTTATGGTAGTTGGTGGTTAGTCTTACGTTGACCATCAGGTTGTCCCTCAAAGAGACCAATCTTTCAGAATTGCTAAACATTTTGTGATGTATTAAAGTTCTTGTGCTCTTTGAGTCTAGGTTTGGAGAAATTTCTTCAATCGTTTTTGTTTTAGATCCTGCATGTGGAGCTACTTTCTTCAGAGAAATAACATGATATGCCTGGATTTTATGTAAGACTATTATTGAAATATTTTTTTCGGTTTTGGATGTTTATTCCTTAAATTGGATTAGTGGCAGGATTTGGTTAGATAATAAGAAAGAAGAATTTTAGTTGATTTGGAATCAAATTCTTGATTGAGTTTTTTGAACTTTGGAAGATTAGGGTTATGGATCTATAGTAGGGGTGGATCTCTAAATGCATCTGTGAACTAACATAAGCTAAGTGAAGCGGCCAACAAGTTGAAAATTCTGGTCTTTGTTGGACATTGAACATGAAAAACTGTCAATGAGTGATGAAGCGTTTACTTATTTTGATATCAATGGTGCAGTTATAGGAAATTATTTTATTTCTTTTATTGGTAACATTTTACCTTTGTTATCTTGGTATGCCATAAAGTTCAGTAAAAAATTTTGATTTTTCCCTACTCTAGTTATTTGTTAGGATGGCGTGAGTGTTTTGTTTCTTTATTGTAAAGTTGTGCGTCGGCATTGTGCATGTAGGCAATATGAGTATAATTCATGGGTTCTTTCCTCCCATACTGTTCTGTTTATCTTTTTTGTGCCTTATAACTATGTTCATTGCTGCATCAATCTGCTGAACTTTTCTCATGTATGGTTTCTGATATGCTGTAGATCACATAGTACCTAACTGATAATTTTTACAGAAGTTGGAGAAGGAAAAATCTGAAGAATGAATCAGATCCGTCTTGTATATTTTGAATATTTTGAAAGGTATGGGCGTCAGATGTGACTGGCTATCCGGAGTTGAGGTGATGTTTACATGAGGCAAACTTGCAGCATGTTGTACTTCAGGAATAAGGATCGATGATTTGTGCTTGGATATGGTTTTGTAATTCTTATCTTAATTTCTAGTTAGAAGAACTTGAAAAAAAGTGAGGAATTTGATCCAAAAGGGGAAGCATAAGCCTTTACTTGGAAAAACCAAGAGCCCTTTCCCTGTGGATAATTGCATGTTCTCTTGGCTGGCAGATGTCCTTGTAACTAGATAAGAACAAGAGATCCTGTCAGCCACAGCATTCAAATGATTCATTGAGAAGCCATGGTATATTTCTTTCTTTCATTCATTCATTTCCTTTTACTTTTTTTGTTCTTCTCTGTTTCTTAAACCCAACAAAAAAAGAAAACCTGGACCACATGAGGTACTAACAATGATAAATTTAACAATATCCCTTTTTCTCTGTCAATTCACAGATCCCTCTAAAATTTTCTGTCACCCTTTCTTGAATGAATATTGTCGAAGGTGTGCAGAACTCATCACAAATCAGTAAGCTTCAAGTGAGTTTTCTTTTGGGTTTTCTGTTCACTGATTTTGACCTGCATTCCCTTTCATTAGTCAGTTGATTATTTATTTATTACCTGGTCAATTTATGCATGGTCTTATTCTTGAAAATACTATTTTTGGCACTGTTATATATATATATATGTATGTATATATTATAAAGCTAATGCTAACAAATGAATTTTATTTCTTGTTTAACAATTTGTTGTTACTGTGTTAAGAAGATTTGTTGATGCTGATAGGTAGTAAGATGATCCTGTGCTTAGTTTAAATTTCTATTCAAAAGTATAGTTTTTGGCAAAAGGAATTCATGATCCTTCCCATGTCACTAGGAAAAAAATCTATACGAGAATACAGCAAACAAGCCATGGAATATGGTAGCTGGCATCATGAGAGAGAGACAGAGAGAGAGAGGTAAAGGACAAGGGTGAATTGGCAAGGGGACACTACTCTCACAATATGGTATGCTGACAGAGAGTTTAAAGATTGACCAACCTGAGGGCCCCATTCAGATTCTCACATTCATTGGCAACTCAACAAAGTTACACTTACTGTCACCGCCAACCCCTCCTCCTCCCCTGTTTTGGCCAGTTTAAATGTGCCATGTGCCGTCCAACTGCAAAAACCCTCGATGGCACAAGAAACCATCTGCAACATAGTACTCCTCCTCATCCTAGTTTCTTCTTTACTATAAACCCCAACAAAGGGGATGGGTTAACCGAGTTGGAGTGACTGAAAACTTTTGATTCAGAAAAAGTACTTGTTTGGATGGATAGGAGGAGGAGATGCTTTACGCTAATGGAAGAACAAGAAGACACACATCCCCACTTGGCCAATCCTATTGCCACACAGTCTACATAAGCATGCAGATATTGTTCTCTAGTACATGAGACGCAGTGGCTATGACCGAGTGACATCTAAGCCTTGGCAATATAATTATCAAGGCAGAGGACCATCAAGAAGAGCAGTCTTTGGGAAAGGTGGATTTCCATAGTGTTGTTCCTCCATTCTCTGGAGGATTAATTTATAAGCCTCGCAGTCAAATGATCACCCAATTGTCAAAAAAGGTTCCTCAGATGCAGAGTCATCGGGAGGAGTGCCTGTCAACTTGGACATGCCCCTCGAAACAACAGTTGCTGATGCCAATCACAGCCAGCATCTCTTTTGTCATGGGATTTCAAACTTGTGCTGTCTTCTCCGACTCCGTCGGGGATGATGGCTGCTGAATGAGAAGCGAGCTTCCAGCTTATCCAGTATGACTTCTGGCGAGTAGATTTGGAAGGGTGTTGTAGTCTATCCATCATGCACAACAACTAGGAAGGAGGAAGAAGAAGAAGAAGCAGTGTGAAGGAAGACAGAGCAGAAAAGCGTGAGAGAATTAGATGCCTTCGGCCATCACAAAAAGAAAATGTTCGTTCCTTGAGAGAGGAGAGAGAGAGTCTTTTGGGGTTCGTCGGAGGGGGAATACAAGGCAAAAAACCAGCCCACCAACTACGGGCGGAAGTGGGGCAGCCAAAGAAAGCGTTTGTTCCAAATGACCAAACCGCCCTTTGGCTTCCAACGGATTAGAACACAAACTAATTAATACAATATATTTAAATCTCCATTTGATATGATAATTATATTTTAAATAAACTTATATAGTATTTCGATCGATCATTGCTCAATCGTGGAAACATTTATCAAACTATTAAGCACTATAATAGTTGTTAAGATGGTTGAATATTTTAGGAGGTGTTGAGTTAACGTTGATATAACCATAATATTTAATCAACATGTTGAGTTGATCAAGCTTCTAATAAGACGATGTGATATGGTTGGATTATATATATATATGTGACGAGCTCATGTTATCGTGAATGGATGGATGAATGAATGAATGAATATTTAAATTATATTAGCATAATTAAATAAAATATTTTATTAAGACGATAGAAGATAGATAGATGATGACTTCGGTAACAGTTCAAAGTGGAGAGAGAGGAGGTAAAATTATGTGGCAGTTTCGATATATTTGGCGTAAGTAGGCAGTGGCAGTTCCGTCATGCCGGTAGTTTTCTTGACCAAATATTTGGAAATCAAATAAATAAATAAATCGATAAATAGAAAAAAGGGGTTTGGGCGTGACAGAGAGCCTTCTCACTCCTCTGTCTGTCTCTCTCTCTCTCCCTTCGCTTTCACTCTCCCTCGCTCTTGTGGCATCTGCCTCCCTCTCTCTTACTTGTGTCTCTTCGTCTTCTCGCTTGCTCTGTCTCTCTCTTACTGGTGCTGGCGATAGTGGTGGTGGTAGTTGTGGCGGTGGTGGAATGGAGAACATAAGCCACCCTCCAATGGAGCAACTCCAGGATTTGGAGTACTGCATCGACTCCAATCCTCCTTGGGGTAAGAGATTTCTGTTAACGGCTGCCGTTGTTCTCTTTTCCGGTTCGCATTTTTCTTACACTTCAAGCCATTTGCTTCTCCTTTCTTGTTCGAGTGATGGTTGGTCTTGGCTGTTGTCATGTTCTTGATGAATCGTTAAGCACATAAAACTGCTTTTTCCCCTCCCTTTTGTTGCTTTGCTTTCTGGTGCTTGCGGTATGGAGAACGAGTTGAAGGGGGAAAACCCATTTTTCTTGGGCCCTACGGTAGAATGAGGGGAAAAGGTGGTCAATTTGAATATTTTAATTAGTTTGACGAGTGTTAGTTGGTTTTCTTTGCAATTCTTGCTTAAAAATGCGATTTTGATCGGCTTGGTGCGATCTATGGTCGGTTGTCGGCCTCCTGAACGAGGTGTCGGATGTTTTTGTCTTTTCTCTATGTGGGGATGGCCAGTGGCGCCCATGTTTGGTGGTTTCACTATTATTCAGGAAGTAAATCTTCAATGGATCTCAAATTTTGTTCTCGTTCCCGCTTCTTCATTTGCCTCACATGGCGAAAGAACAAGTTTGTCCCGTATGTACTTGTGTATTCTGCTACTGGTCTGCTTCCATTATGCTTGCTTCTTGATCAAGAAGGGCATTCTGAAAGACAGACACGCTGGAGGCTTTTTACGAGATTCTTTTGTTTTAAAATGCTAGCATTTTTGCTTGATCCATGGTGGTTCAGATTTTGGATTAAATGAGCCACTCATTCTAATTTTTTGTCTTAAAACTCTCCCTATGCGATATCATGTTTTCTGCATCTGTGAAGATATTTTTCTCGTAAACTTATGTCATCATTAAACCTACCGTATAGTATAGGTGATTCTTACCTGTAGAAACCAATGTGGGTTGGTGCATCAACTCTGGTTTTGTAATCATTGGATTCACAATAGGGCACCGGATAAGAGAGCTACTTCTGAGTGCCTTTAGATTTTTCTTTCATTAAATGTTGGACTTCTTTCCAGACATTGATTGTTGTTTGCTTCTTTTACAAAACGTTGCTATTTAATGGCTATTCACTTGACACATTGCAACGAACTATGTTCTCTGGAAAATAATGGAATTCCAATGCTTTTAGTCAATCATATGGGCAACAAAATCAACATACTTGTGATGCAAATTTCGACCTTATTTGTTCTCTCCCTCTGCTTCCATTTCCTGTAGAGAGAAGTTGTACAATTTTTTGTCTTGTTTGCATCATATGATAAGTATGCCATTTTTCATTTTTAGCTGTAGTAAGCTATGTATCTTTCTCTATATGAACTAAAGTTCCAAGAGATGGGAGATTATGCCTTAACAAGAAATGTCTGGAAGCAAACCTTTCTTCTGAAAATAATCGCAGTTTTAAAACTTTCCATCATCTGAGAGAAAACTCAGGTGAGAGAATCAGGGATGAAACATTCGATAAATTTTTCTTGGTCCTTAGCATTTTCGAATGATTCTATTTCGATCTTAAAACTAATATGATTGTGAAATTTTTTACTAGAAACGTAAGTTTAGACTGAATAAATATCAGTGTACTAGCAAATGACAGAAGTTTCTTAATTTTGAAATATTTTTCAAAGGATCAGAGGGATGATTGGTTCTTCTTTATTACATGTGCTGCAACTTTGGGTCTAAAACTACATATTTTAGTAACTAGCAGCTTTTAAGCTAGACAGTCCCACATTTTTTTTCTCTAACCTTGGCAGAACTTGCTCCAGGATGAACAATTATCTTAAGTCTAAGAAACCTTCTTATCCAGGTTTACTCGAGTAACAATGTTAAAAGATGAAGATTTTCTTAGGTCTCTTATATGCTTGATGATTATTTTGAGAATTCACGATCACACTATTACCAAGGAGTAGTCGAATGAGGAGCCGACCATATCTCGATTATTTAACTTTATTTTATCGATAAGAAAGTATTTTGATTCTTTTTTGTTTTGCTAAGATATTCAGAAAGCTTGGTCAGTCGTCTCTAGGTTGAAATTATCCTTGTAGTAAGTTAGTGGATTTAAGATTGAACATTAAAGCATGTGCTATTAGGATCGCTTGTTCAAAGATAAAGGATACTAAGATCTTCTTACGATCTTGGAACAGTCCTCAGCCCAGCGAGACGTAAATAATGACTCTTCACATCACCTAGTGTGTGGGCTACTATATCATGCCTAATATTCTTGAGTTGCCCTTCTAAACTTTTAATCGTACTTGGATATTAGTTGGTTGGAATGTTCTTAGTAGTTGTTTATTCACCTGCTATTATTGTATATCTTGTCAGCTTATCCGCCTGAGTGCTAAGATCAGAAAATTTATTGTTATGCAAAGATGTGCTGAAAATTTCTGGCATGCTCAGTATTTATTGGTGCCATTGTGACGGTGCTTTATAGATAAAGTTGGTGTTCTATACTCTGTGGCCATGTGAAGGTGTTACATAGGCTGCCAGAATATTATGCACCAGAAGCTGAGTGATTATTCTCATATTCTCTCCTGGTGAATACTGGATATACTCACCACTAAGCAGTCAGTAAGTAGCTCTTGTGTCCTGTCAATCACAAGACTGAACCATCTGTTTTATGGTTTTGAGGGAGGGTGGGGGGGGGGGGGTTGTTGTGGTACTGAGTTAAGTTGTATGCTCATATTCATGATGATCTAATTGTTAATTTGTTGTTTTGCTCTGTGTTGCCTTCATAATATCAGCTTATTTTTGGTTTGGGCTAGGAGCTACTTGATCTGTAATAATGACCTGAAACTTGTAAGATCTACAGAGCTTGTTGTAGTGCATAAACCACTAGGAGAAGCAACTGAAAATGAGATGAGAGGAGGCAAATATCCAATACCATCATTTGGCATTTGTGTGAAAACCATAGGCTCTTGTTTATTACTTCTACTCTTCTTTGGCCTCAGGAATAGTGATTGATGAACCATAATCTTAGGGTTATATTACCATCATGTATGATAACTTTGCCTACAATTATTCCATTAATAAATTTAAGAACTGTTATTTTGAAATGTGAACCAATGCATGTGTAATTCAGCTTGCATGTGAATTGCAAAAATTTGCTGTTCCTTCTTTTCCAGTATATGCCTGCTGTATATATTATTTGCATTTTTGCCTGTTTCCTTCCTGCAGTTGAAACTATCTTGTTGGCTTTTCAAAATTACATTCTAATGCTGGGCACCAGTGTGATGATTCCTTCACTGCTTGTTCCACTGATGGGTGGGACTGATGTAAGTTAAAATCCATTTCAGCTATACAATTGTAATGGACCTTTTTATACAATTTTTTCCTGATTGGTGCCTTTTTATGACATGTTTTCTGTATCCAACCTAGGCTGACAAGGTTCGTGTTATACAAACATTATTGTTTGTATCTGGAATCAACACACTCTTGCAAGCATTGTTTGGAACACGTTTGCCCACGGTTGTGGGTGGTTCTTTCGCGTATGTGATACCTATCCTTTATATTATACGTGACTCGTCTTTGCAGAGAATTCCTGATCAACATGAAGTGAGTTCCTATGTTCTCTATTAAGGGCTTTCCAGAGACTGGTTCTTTTCTTCACCATTTAAACATCAATGACCTAGTTAAGCTTAGATGCAGTTTGCCAAATTTTCAACTTGCAGAGGTTTTTGCAAACCATGCGAGCTATTCAAGGAGCACTAATTATTGCATCCAGTTTGCAAATAATACTTGGTTACAGTCAGCTTTGGGGAATTTTTACAAGGTAATCTATATAACCTTGCTTGAAGATATCACCATCGTGCTATTTGCATAAGTCATTTTACATTGTGTTATCTTTACAGGTTTTTCAGTCCCCTAGGGATGGCACCTGTAATTGGATTGGTTGGCTTGGGACTATTTGAAAGAGGTTTTCCTGCTGTATGTCAGTAGCTCTTTAGTGTTCAATCCTCTACGATAAGGGTGGCAGTCGTTGTTGGAAAAGAGAAATAAGACAACTTACATTTTTGAATGATTTATTTTTTGTTCTTTAGGTAGGAAACTGCGTGGAAATAGGCATACCAATGCTTTTGATGCTCATTGGACTATCTCAGGTAGTTTGTTTTTCTGCAAAAATAAGTTTCCTCCCTTCTTTTGGCTTCTCATTTTGATCATAATGATGAAATTTGTTGGTTTGCAGTATTTGAAGCACTACAGGCCATTCAGGGATTTTCCCATCTTTGAACGCTTTCCAGTACTCATCTGTGTTACAGTCATTTGGATATATTCTCTTATCCTAACAGCAGGTGGTGCATATAACCATAGGCCTACTAAAACTCAAGACAGCTGCCGCACTGACAGGGCCAATCTAATATCATCTGCTCCTTGGTAAAGTCTTAAATCACATTTTTTTCCCTTTTAATTTTGCTGTTGAAGTTTGTGCTCTTTCTTAATATTAATGCTTACAGGTTCAAATTCCCATATCCTTTGCAATGGGGTGCACCGACTTTTGATGCTGGCCATTCAGTATCCATGATGGCTGCTGTATGGGTTTCTGTCATAGAGGTAACAGTTGATAATGTTTATATTTCCTATAATGGCTTTTAAATTTCTTTTGCTCAAATCTGCAGTCAACCGGTGCTTATAAGGCAGCATCACGCCTGGCTATTGCAACTCCTCCACCTGCTTATGTATTGAGCCGAGGGATTGGCTGGCAGGTCTGCTAGTAAACTTTGTCTACTTAGATAACATCTAGTGTTGTGAACTTTTGGAGATTGTTGCATTTTGATTGTCTCAGATCGACTTAAATTATAACATTAGTATTTGTCCAATCATTTGGTCTTTATTTTTGGGAGATGAATGGACAACAAACTCGAATTTATAACTGCTCGGACATCTAAGCATGGACGCATATAGGTGAAGTTGTTACATTCATCTATACATACTGGGTGATATTTTCATCGTATGTTTATATGCTTTAAGCTTACAGGTTGCTTTTGATCTTGACCATAGACAAATTTTATGGCAATTGTTAAGCGAATGATGGTTGATCTAGAAAGTCTATACCACGTGTGGAGTCAACGGTTAACTTTGCAATTGTTGAAAGGACTCAAAGTCTTCAGAGTGTGATGTGTCATAATGTAACCCTAAATTTTGACAAATTCCATTAATTTTATAGAAGAGAGGGAGGAATATGATTATAAACATCAAATTTACGTGTGCTCCATTGAAGGATAACACTTTGGCAACTCTATAAATAAGGACTTGAACTAGCCAACCCTTTTTTATTAAGTATAAGATAAGTGGCTTTGAACATAAAAGAGGTATAATACAAGGCATATTGCAATCAGGCAATCAAGCATTTTCTAACATAAACCACTAATACATGTAATTCTATGGATAGCAAGTGGTTCCATGATTGTATAATTTTTTTAGTCACCATAGTACAATCAATGCTTTGGAGTAATGAGCCTTGAGGATGCTTGGAACTAATAAGATTTCTTCTGTGTTCTGTTTAGCCTGTTTTGTTTTATATTATGTTGATCAAGTGGGGGACTGATACAGTGTGATCAACAAAAAAAAAGTGCATGTTTTCATAAGAGCAATCCATATAAGAGAGAATAATGAAAGGCAAATGTTCAGAATGATGAAAAGGTAAGGGTCAAATTTGATCCTACAAGTTCAACTGGAAATTGTCTAAGTAGTAAGACAATTTCTAGAATTGCACTGAGTTGGTCATGGAAGCATAAGAGAAACAAGAACAAAAGAAAAGGAAAAAAATTGTAAGCTTCCTTTTGCTTTCCACTACATGCAGGTCAATTCCAAGTTTTCATAAAGTTAATTGTCCAGCCAATCTTTCTATGCAACTTTACTTCAATTATGGATTGATTTTTGTGGTCATTACATGGTAGTTTAAAATAGATAGAGTAGCTAAACTGTGTTTGAGTCATGTAAAGACTCCTATCTCAGCTTAGAAGTTTGTTCATCACACTTTCATTTCTTATGGTAATTATTTTCTTAAGAGTCCTTGAATGTTTATGTTCTTTTTCTAAACTAGTCCTTGCCATATGGAGACATAAGTGCACTTACTGTGACAAGGATGTCAATCATGCTACATAGTAAGGATTTTATTTCAAATGAGACCGCCCGCTACCAAGCGGTATCAGCCTGGCTACGGCGAGGGAAGAAGAAGCGCCGAGGGAGAAGAGGAAGAATCGGGAGAACCTCGATGCTTTCCGATCCGGCGCCACCCTCCCTCGACGGTCCCGATCCAGAAGGTAACAGAGAGGCGACTGCTCGGCTTCTTCTACGTCGCGTTCTTCACTGAAGGCCAGAGGCGTCTGCGGCCTTCGACACCCTCGCCGAACACCTGACGCGACGAGGAGAAGAAAAGGAGATGACATTGTTGAGGCAGCGTACGCCTCCTTTTCTTATATATATATATATATATATATATATATATATATATATATATATATATATATACCGAGCAGTACACCCTAGTGTATTGCTTAGTATGCTTGTACCGTATAGTACCGTACCAAGCAAAGCTCGAAAAGTTAGTACGATACGAAATTACAAACCTTGCTACATAGTATGTTAAATAGTAAGTTCCATAGAAACCAGAAACACCCCCTATCAGTGAGCTTTTAGGCAGTTCTTCAGTTATTTCTTAAATGGAGTTTTGTCTGTATCAGCACTTCCTTTCTTCATAGATGAAAAATGTGATCGTCTTGAGTTTAAGCTTTGTAGCTAAATGCTTCATCATTCATGCTTCACCCCAGGGGATTGGTGTGCTGCTGGATGGTCTGTTTGGAACTGGAACAGGCTCCACTGTCTCTGTGTAAGCTTTCCTATTTCCATGGCAAAGTTCTGCTGGCAGTAATAGGGAAAATGCCTTAGATATATGTAGATACATGCCAAATATTCATTAAAATCATATATTTCTATCATCTATGAACACCATGTATCTCCCCTGCTTCCTGATTTTGGGAGGGTCTGGTGTTATGTCTATGAAGGGGATCTATGTTGTACATATCGCACAGAGTTGCAGCATGTACATTATTTGATTTTAGATAACAATGGCAATGATGATGACACTAGTTTGTGTAAAATTTTAGGGAGAATGTTGGTCTTCTTGGACTTACTCGAGTTGGCAGCCGCAGGGTGGTTCAGATTTCAGCTGGGTTCATGATTTTCTTTTCCACCTTAGGTATGATTTCTTTATTAATAATTCATTATATTGGCGGTTATGTTCTTTAACTTGCAATCAGTATCATGATCTGTTGCTTCAGGGAAATTTGGAGCCGTCTTTGCATCAATTCCATTTCCTATATTTGCAGCATTGTACTGTGTCCTTTTTGGCCTTGTTGGTATGTATTTCATTTTTGGGGTACATTTTATTCTTGCTGTTAATGTTTCTAATTTTATCTTTTTGAAATTTGCAGCTTCTGTTGGAATATCATTCCTTCAGTTTACAAACATGAACTCTATGAGAAACCTCATCATCACTGGTCTCTCACTTTTCCTTGGAATATCCGTTCCACAATATTTCAATGATACTCTGGTTTCTTCTGGCCATGCACCTGTAAATACACGTGCAGGATGGGTTAGTTATGTTTAACTGCCTTTTGGATTCTCTAAAGAATTTACTGAGTCGCAAGATAAATTACGATGGGTGCTGAATCAGACTGACTCATATTGACAAAGAAGTGGCAATGTGCAAAAAATAGTTTGATCATTAATTATGGCTCTTTTTAGTGTACCTATTAAAAATTTAACCAAAAACCTAAGCATGAATATGTCTTAAATACAAAGAATTTGGACACAGTTATTATAACTCAAAATAATACGAAAAATCACCAAGATCATTATAAAAAGTTCAAAACATTATCTTGGACTATGAGTGCCTTATGTTCCTTTATATTTCATTCAGAGTTAAATGGAATTTATATTGATCCTGTTACAAACCATCGAGCTCATAATGCATGAGATTTTGTTGTGATCGGAAATGCATTATTTTATTATTTTGCTTAAACTATCATGCATGTAAGCAGATATCCTTACTTGTATGTAAGGCTTGCACTTGGTTCATAGTTCCTCAAGATGTTTGTTCGACCGAAAAGATTTACATTACATTTTGCTATTTAGATGTTTGCTTTTGCTGAAATTGTAAAATTTTCCTGCCTGCAGTTCAATGGGTTCTTAAATACCATATTTCTGTCACCCCCCACTGTCGGATTGATTGTCAGCGTATTTCTGGACAACACATTGGAAGTCGAGAAGTCTAAGAAGGATAGGGGTATGCCGTGGTGGGTGAAATTTAGAACGTTCAGAGGCGACAACAGGAACGAGGAGTTCTACACGCTTCCTTTCAATCTCAACAGATTCTTTCCACCTACCTAGCAAAGGCTCAGATTTATTTGGAAACACTGAGCTGCTTCATTTGGACAATGATGCTCGCTGGCATATCCTTCATCAATTCAGGCAGTTAATGATCCTGCAATTTTGAAGTCAAAAGGGTTCGGCCCAGTATCCGAGCATGTTTTGGTCGGATCCCCCATTAGTTGGCACCTTGCTGCTGCACTTTTGATGCTGCTTATGCTGCTAGCATCCTCTTGTATTTTGTTACATATCTCTCGAAATCTGGCAACTGGTTCATGTTTGTCTTGTAGTTTTTGGCCTAATAAGACAGACACTACTGTTTCATACATTTAATTGTTCTTCATTCATCCATCACTGTGACATGCTTATGCCTGGTTGATGGAACCTCCTCTGCTTTCTTGTTCTGAAAACCACCATAGTATCTGAAATAGCAAATAGGGAAATGCATCATTTTGGTAGGAACTTTATCTTCTCCATATCCTGTGATCAGTGCACACGAGTTTATTTATTAGTTGTGCAGATGTACTACCATAGATGATGCTTATCATAGGCTTCTAAATTAGGTTTTTTGTTCCTGGATTGTGTTATGGATAGTCCGTGGCATTATGAATTGAATGAAGGGAAAATAAAGAGGAGGAAATGGTAATTGAGGAGAATAGGATGCCATGGCAGAGGCCAAAAGTGAAGGAGAGGAAATAAAGCTTTGACCATTTTGCCTTTTGTCTTTTTAATGTTCCAAAACAAAGGTAGAAATATGATTTGTGTGGTCAACCAAAGAGGATCATGCAAACATAAGTGATGTTTCTTCTACAAACCTGCTTGCCTTTGTCGATGAAGCAGAAGGCTTAGAAAGCCTAAATTTCCATTGCAACGAGAAGAAAGTTGAGAGAAAGTGGCCTTCCCAATCAAAGAGAGTAGAGAGACGGTGTTGATCTCCAAAACATCCTTCCTTTTGCACCTTCTCTCTTTCCTTTTGATTCTACACTCCCCAAAGTCTTTCCCCGATGAAGCTCATAGATCTTCTTGTCACAGAGCTTTTGCTCCTACTACATCATCATCAGCAGCAGCAGCATCCGCATCAGCATCTCCACCTTCATTATCGTCATCGTCATCTCGGTCATCACCATCAAGGTCCGCCAAGTTGCCTCCACCCGATGTCAGGAGCCCCTTCCCCTCCGCTCCCAAGCTCTGGTTCTCCTCCGCCGCCGCCGCGTTCGCCGCCGAGTCGGCACCTTTCCGCCTCCGCGTTTGATGCGGTGGATGACGTGCCGGTTCGGCGATGCGTCCCACCGCGCCGAGAAACTCTTGTAGCACCCAAAGCACCCGCATTCCGGTTCAGGAGGTTGCGCCCGCCGCTGCCATAGAGCAAGTACTCCAGGACCTCCTGCTCCTCCTTGGTCAGCGCCGCCGGGCGGGCTAACACCGCCCTGGCGGTGGGCCCGGGTGGACTTTCCTCCCTTTCCTGTTGCCGAGCTTCTTCATCACTTTGCCAGCCAAAAAAGCATAAAGATCACCTTTTTATGCTGTGCGTGTCAAAGAAAGCCAAAGAGAAGAGAGAGAGAGAGAGAGAGAGAGAGAGAGAGAGAGAGAGAGAGAGAGAGAGAGAGAGAGAGAGATCCATGGATATGCCTGCCTACAAGTATAGTTGGTGAAGAGTCGTCTGCTTGATCAAGCATTTAGTAGTAACCATATAAGACAGCCCAGGCTGCAGAGTACAGTTATTTGATGAGGAAACAGTAGAAGAAATTACATTTTCCATGAACTAATTATTGTAGGCTTCTCAAAGAATTCACGATCAGTCACTGAAGTACACATTGACGATGGTTGGATGTCTCTATCATGTCTGTGCCAGTATGGTAATGACGAACGGTGCATAAGAAGGGAGGAGCTCACACGAACTCAGCCAGGCTTGTCCTCAGCGTCTGGTTGGCGCACAGACGGTTCAATCTCTCTGAGGGATGGATGGAATCCCAGAAGGCGTACTTGTCTGCGTCTTCGCAGGTGAAGGGGTTCCATTGGTTGCAGAGATAGCTGGCCTCTATCTTCCCCGTGCCGCAGCATCCTCTGCTCGCAACCTCGAATCCTGAGCACACCCACCTCATCATCGTCGCAGAGAGGAGCAGAAACTAAAGCTTGGCTTCCCCAAACTCACCGTATGAGGACGGGTTCTGCACGACGTGGAGCAACAGATCATAGAAAGGAGCAAGTCTCAGCTTCAGCCCCGGCAACGCCGCGCACAGCCTCGTCGTGAGTGCCTGCAGCTTAGCGTTGAAGTCCCTGGCCACCGTGTTGTACTCCTCCATGCACTCGCCCGGGTTCATGAGGTTGGAGGTCCTTTCCGACGGCAAGCACCCGAAGGGGGTGAGACCGGTGAAGGACACCTTGCGAGCCCCCAGGCGGTGGAGCTCCGTGAGGAAGTCGGCGGCGTGGCGGATGAGGAAGTCCTCGTACTCTTCCACCGTGAATTGCTCGCTCCGCTCCGTCACCTCCGAGTAGTAGTTCTCGATGAAGTCGTTGGTGCCGATGCTGACGATGTACACGGCCTCGTTGATGATGTAATTGGCCTTCGTCTTCCCCATATACGCTTCCAGTTTCTGCTGGTACTCCTTGAAGAACTCCATCTCTTGCCGTAGGGGGATGACAGACTGCACATTATCAAGAACGGAAGACCACACCATTAACAAACACTTCATTATAGCTAGCGTAGAACATCCAACTAAATCCGACAACCTAATCGAACAAGTCTGGGGGCAATGACTGGACTCATCATGCCAAATACCTACGAAAGCAGCTGCCATCCCAAAGTGACAGTAATGTCTTCCGAGAAATAGGCATGTAATGTATCTTTAGCGAACTAAAGAGGCAACTGAGAGTGGCACTTCAAAGGAGTAGGAATCCTTAGATACTCGATCCTTATCTAGAAAGGGTTTTAGCTGTCACCAGTACCACTTGTCCTCCTTGCCTGCTCCATAAACGTACATGCATCAGCCTCGTACTTGAACCTTTCACGTTTCCGAGAGAGGAAGGGGACAACTCTACTGGGGTTCTGATCCAAAGCTACACCAACTCTCATTCCTATACTCCCTCTGGTACATGAAATAGATGCAATAAGCTAAAGATGCATGCAAAGCGGGACTTACGAGCACGTCGGAGGTGGCGGCGTCGAGCCCCGTGGCCGCCGACGCAAAGCACACGCCGGTGGCGAAGTCCCGGATACCGTAGGCCGGGTCGAGATAGGCCGGCACGATCGACGGTAGGCCGAGAGCCTCTGAGATGAAGTCGGTGGCGAGACGGCCGTTGCAGAAGCGACCGGTGGCGCGGCCGCCGGGGAAGTCCCGGCCGTAGGGCGGGAAGTTGGCCCTGGCGATGGTGGGGATGAAGTTGTTGTTGCCGGCGTCGACGGTCGAGTCGCCGAAGACGATCACCGCTGGAACGCGAGAAGGAGCGGCGAGGGAACGGAAGAGTACGAGGAAGAGAAGGAGGCGTTCGTGGCGGACGAACGCCATCGCCGTCGGGTGCACTCAGCTTAGCTGTTGGGGGAACATGGAAGCCCTGATACTTCTTAATATAAGTGGAGGTCTCTCAGAGACAGTGTTTTGTTACATTACAGCCCTCTCAGACTGTCATCATAGGAAGAGATTTAAGCTACCCATATCAACCAACCGCATCACAATTATTGAGTCTAATGTGATACAGCCAAGAGGGAAACCGTTAGGTGGGAATAATATTGAGCGAAACGGACAGATGACGATTTGACATGACTCATCAGATGCCACGTCTTCCACATACGTTATGGGGGTCATAAGATTGGGGATCGAACGGCCAACTGTCTTTGAGCGCTCTTAAAGAGCGCTGCGTTGAATGCCAACTGCTACCCTCCTCACACGTCGTTGTCTCGGCTGGACCACAATACCTTACGCGAGCTGACGGTACATCATTGTTTCGGTTAATGAATACTACCACTATACGTACGTCCATAAGCAGGGCGAAAGCGCATCGAGAATCGTGCGTCGCGTGATCTTGACCGTGCGCGGGTCACGGATGGAGCTGTATCAACTCTTTAGCTTGGCACAGATGCGAACTGAAGTCCTTTGACAACAAGGATTACTGTCCTTCCTTTACGTAACTGCTTCTTTGTCTAAGGAGGGACTGATATAATGAGAGGCTGTTATTGTGTTGCACTTTGAGATGTGGGGTTCCAGGAGACATTGAATAGAACTGAGTAAGTTTGTGATGTTTAGGGTGGTACATGTAAGTATAAAAATTTGTGACATAATATATGAAACGTCAACAAAATTTTATATCATGATTGAAATCAAATAATATTAGATCGGATCTATGATATATACCCTTCGATGTCATCTGAAAAATATCTTTATGTAATATGTAAAGAAACTATCCCTCGGATCCGAGTATCACAGTGCCGTCGATCTACAAAGAGAACTAAATACTTATTCTCCTCTTTTTTTATTTTTTTATATAACTATTATTATTGATGGTTCAAGAAGATTAAAAAGAAAAATTATAATATTTAAACTGTATCATCTATGACACACATTATTTAGTCCCTAGAGGTTCTGTTTATTTATAGACGATAGTAAAAGATTTATGATAAATTATTATAAAAGTTCCTTTCGCCAAAAGCATCCTCTAAGCGAACTTACCATAATATAATTTTTTTTATTAGTCAATCATCATAATTTAATTAATTTTATTATATATTTTATCAATTATAAAGGATCATGTAATCTAACTAATCTAACAGTACAATGCATAGCCCGGTGACAGTGATGTGCGACCACATACTGCGAGTACTGTTGTCGATGCTAAGTATGGTGGGGTTGCTCTTTGAGATTTTGCACGCCGAAAGCAATCAACAGCGTCGGTGTATTTTCCTTATTGTTCCATCCAAAATGTTTCTCATTCACATCGAAAGGAAAGAAATGACATCGGTAGTGTCTGCGATTGGAAACTTGGATTAGCTGCATAGAACAACATGGCAATCCATACTGTATCAAAGTTACAAGTTTACTTTGTTACCGACCTTTATCAGATTCACGTTGAATTTATTAATTTATATAAAAAATTAAGGAATGATGCAACTCTTTAACCTATCGATCATCTTTATTAGCCTTTCATGCCTTTAATATAAATGAAATATGGGAAGTTGTAAAATTTATAGGTTTTGATAATAGTTGTTGAATCTCGGATTTTGATAATGAAACCGATGTAATTTTTACTACTGTACTAGTTCACTCCTTTCTTAGTATCAACTCATTCCTAACAATAGTTCTTTGGAGGTGTTATTGCAATATGTTTGTGGTTAATTGGGAAAGCAAGGAACAAAGCTTGCTCTGATGAGATTTCTCTTTATCTTTTTATTATTATTTTCTATAAATCGCTTGCTTGTGTGACGAACCTTTTTTTTATCGAGAATAATTTTTTTCTAAATATATTGAAGGCTCAATTGAGGTATATATCAAATAATTAGATAGGTGAAGCCAAGCCTCGACTAGACTAAACTTAATACTGATGGTTTTAGACAGGAATCGACGAAGGAGGGAGGCACCTATTTCCTTCTTCCTTCGAGCACTACTATATCATATATTATCGTTGGATGGTCATTTCGCATTTTACTACGAGGCTAAGGCGATTCTGGATAAACTAATAATTGCCATTCAAAAAGAAATATCCAAAATTCTTTGATGCAAATCTATTGGTTGATATCTTCAACAAGATAATCAAATCTCCTTGACAGATTCTAAGTCTTTATAGAGACATCTCCACCTGTTCCTAGTCTTGTCTTAAGTATACGCATGCTGCATACATCGAGTGAAACAAACCTACACATTGGGTATGTGCATAGGTGTAGCATTATATGGCAAAGGGATTGACCGTATGATTTTGACATCCTATTTTTATTCGATTAGCAAAACTTTATTAGGTAATGGAGTGAGAATTAATCCTTCGTTCGTCCGTAGTGGCTATCTACGTATCTGAGAGTGCACAGACAACACATTCATAAGTGATGGATGTTGCATTCGTCCTCAGAGCCACCGATCCATGATCGTAGCAGCTACATGAAGCACAACAATCATTTGTATACGTACAAGGTGGTGTTCATGAGGCGATCAGCAATGATACGGTACATCCTCTCCGTCGGGTGGAAGGCATCCCAGAACACGTACTTGTTGGCGTCTGTGCAGGTGAAGGGGCTCCTCCTGCTGCACATGTAGCCCATCTCGAACAATCCCGTCGCGCAGCAACCCGACACCGCGTTCTCAAATCCTGCCCATCTCAAGTAGAAGAAGAAGAAGACAGAGTTCAAAGAGATGAAGGAAAGAGTTGATCTCTAGCCGAAGGTGGTGTCGACGAACTCACCGTATGATGTGGGGTCGGTGACGACGTCCATGAACGGGTCGTACAGATTGCTGTAGGCTAATTTGACGTCAGGCAGCTTTTGGCTAAGCTCGGCCATCATAGTCTGGAGTTTGGCGTTGAAATCTGAGGCCACCTGGTTGTGCTCCTTGTTGCAGGAGTCCAGATTCTCCACCCTCTCCAATGGCAAGCACCCCATGGGAGGAAGGCCGGCGATGTTCACCTTGCGAGCGCCGAGACGGTAAAGGGCGTCCACGAACCCTCGAGCGATGCTGATGAGGTAATCCTCGTACTTGTCCACGGTGTACTCCGACGACCTCCCGGAGAAGGCGTAGTAGTTCTCGAGGAAGTCGTTCGTTCCCAAGCTAATGATGTACAGAGCCTGGCTTATGGTTTGCTGCGCGGTGGCTTCCCCTTGGAAGCTCTTCAGCCTCTCTTGGTACTTCTTGAAGTAGTCCAATTGCTTCCACAGTGGCAGGACGGACTGCCATGAGCCATCGAGCTCGAGTCATTAACTATCGTCTTCCGTCATGACCTAATCACAGAGCAAAAAGATCGGCTGAGGCTGGAGACTTACGAGCACGTCCGAGGTCACATTGTCGTAGCCGGTCGCGGCGGAGGCGAAGCAGACGCCCGCGGCGAAATCCTTCATCTCGAACGACGGATCAAGGTAAGCGGGGACGGTGTCGGGGAGGCCGAAGTCCTGCGATATGAAGTCGGTGGCGAGGCGGCCGTTGGAGAAGCGGCCGGTGGCCACCCCGCCGTTGAAGTCGCGACCATAGGGCTGGAAGTTGCTCCTGGCGACGGTCGGGAGGTAGTCATTGTTGCCGGTGTCGACGGAGGAGTCACCGAACACGACGAGCGCCGGGACTTTGGCAGCGACGCCAGGCGCGTGCAGCAGCAGCGGTTGCACCAAGAGGAGAAGGCAGTGCATCCAGGGCGTTGCCATCTTTTGCGCTGTGGCACTGCAAGTCTCGGCTTTGATGAGCATAAATAGAGCAACGAAATTGTGCTAAGGAATGATGCAGATCTCGGCCTTCTTCTTCTTCACTGGTAGGCCAACCACAAGGTGGTTTCCAACCACCAATGAGGTGGGTGAACCAATCTGAAATGGAGGCCACTGGGACAGTCTTTAAATGCACTTACATGATTCATTAAAGGATTCATACCCATATGGTCCTTGTATATACGAGAGGTACAACATAGTTAACTTTGTAGAAAGTCGGCTAAAAGGCATGCATGCACACCTGGGGATGGGTCTTAAGTGCACCGCAAAGGTGGATTTGTCCCTTCATTCTAAGTCGATCGTTGCCTTATCTAAGGTCCAACATCATCTACATCTTTAAAATAAGGTTAGTAGTTGAAGAGTACAGAGCAGTTTACGTGGGCTACAACAATGACTGAGGTAGAAAAGAGGCGAAAAGTCAAGTCAAACACAGGTTTTAGGGTGACGATGGAGAGACCGGATGATGGCCAATCTAAAATTACGTATGTCCTGTAAACCAACGCATTTTAAATGGCATGTCCACTTGTTTTGGGTGCTTCATACTAAAGGCAGTATGTGGTTCAAAGTTGCAAGAAGAGGTGGTGTTGATGAGGAGAGAGAGAGAGAGAGAGAGAGGAACATATCAGGCAAATGAGCGCTCATGATTTACATGCACAGTCGAGAAAATAAATCACAGAAGTTGGATAAAGGTTAATATACATGAGATTGAAAACTGATTCAACCCAAATGTTTATCTATTTAGTGATGGGTTACATAGAATATATGCTATCTAATTCTTTGAATTCCTAACAATTTGTGATTAGTCATCTTTTTAATCTCCATATTATACATAAATTTTCTCTTATTTAGTATGTCTCAATCATGGAATATCTGTTAGAACTCTTATCTTTAGAGAGAGAGAGAGAGAGAGAGTCTTGAGGAACCTAAGAAGCGGTCAGAGAGGCACTGCAGCCACCCGTTTCCTCGAATGGCCGAAACCGTCGTCGGTCTGCTTCCCTCCCTCTCTCATTAAAATGGCTTCGTCCCCTCCCTTCCCTCTCACGGCCTTTCTTCTTCTTGTTGTCAACCGGCGACCACCCGCGACGACAACGATGGCCTCCCTCCGGGCGATGGCTATCCTCGCAATACTTGCATGCATGCTGCTGATGAGATCGGCCGCGGGCGACGTCGTGGCGGTGGGGGCGGACGGACTCACCATCAAGAGCACAGACTTCCACGTACCAGTGAGCCAAGCAACGGCAAGGCCCGCCGACGCCTTAGCTTCCAACCACGATGCGAACGCGGATGAGGGCGGCCCGGATATGTTCCATGTATTCGACCAGGAGCTGATCGTGTTGGGTCACTGAGAAATAATAACAATGTATCTGGATGCCTCCTTATTCACCCTGTTCTTCTCGATCTATTGCACTGATTTAATATCAACAACGATTTGAGCTCAAGAACAGGTCGATTCCTACAGCTTAGTCGTCGTGTGTGCCATGATTGCAAACATGGGATTCTAAACCTTTATCCCTTAACTCGCTTTCACGCCAAGGTGGTGCATCAGCTTTTGGTGTAGGAGAGAGCGAGGAGGAACTCGAGGAGTCCCACCTTTTGCCTGACACACTCATCCTCTCCACCAAGTATCTTGGACTGTTGAAGACGAACCAGTTAATGATGATGCGCGGTCGAAAGGGAGAAGCAGCAGCGAGGTTGAGCAGCCCAACGGCGGGTGTCCCCGCGTGTTGTCGGTGTCATGGCAGAACCACTTTGACGCCGTTGTCCTCCGTCGTGAGCGTAAGAAAAGAATGAGAGACGATAACTCACTCTGTGTACTACGCGGTGGTACTCGTCCCTCTACGTTGGAAGAAGAGTTGAACGAATGGAGTACGTCGAATGTTGCAGGCGGGCATGCATGCGCAAGAAAGATACATCAAGCGTGCACACATCTTCCTGCGTTGAATTGGGTGAACTCGCATCATTCCCCTCGCACTTCCTTCTTAAGAATCCCGAGACACCTCCCTCACTATTTCATGCGCTCTCCCCTCTCCTTCCATATTGCTTCACAACCTTCTGTCGTCTCCTTCCATGGTCGAGCCCTCTTGATTCACAGGCCTCTCCTACCTCCTCCAGCTGCAGCTGAGCCCAATCGTGGCATGTATCTTCTGCTTTCTTCATTGGTTGTGATCGCAGTCAGTAGTGTTGGTGACTCGGTGGATGAAGGAAGTGGTATTGGTGAGGTTGAATCTGATGATTGGATTTACTTATGATACGATGGTAAACCCTTCTCAGATTGAGCCGCGCCAATATCACTGTCTTCTATTAATACCGCACTGGTGCATCGGTCCATCCGCAGTCAATACCAAACTGATTGCTTCATCTGCCTACATCTACTCTTATCTATCATTTAAGCTTTTTGCTGGTAATACCGCTTAATAGGGATAGGATTTCATTTCTTCTATGGCAAAGTTCAAATCTAGCATGTTTTTATCTAATGATGTTTGCGTATCTGACATAGATCAGCGCTAAAATACGACTTTTAAGTTATCTCCCATATGTGTGATTCAATTCTTTTTATCCCATAGAGATGTGGCACTATTCTTCGTTGATCACGTGTGGCTCAATCACCATCACCTTTTTTAATTTATTTATTAAGACATATATATATATATATATATATATATATATTCACATTTTACTTTTTTTTTCTTTGTCAAAACTTAGATATTTATAGAAAAATTAAATCTTAATTTTTAAGACAAAATAAATCGATCAGATTCTCAATTCAAAAGTTCCGCTAATATGTAATTATTGTTAATATACTGCATGATGAAGACAGTAGATGACCATCGCAGAATGCGGCAGGTCGCGAACTCGCTTAACTGTTATCAACACACAACTTTTCCCTTTTGAACGAGTAAAATGAAATCAAAATGACAAAACTGCTCTTTTTTTTTGTGTTTTTAACATTGTGGTCTTTCTCCTATACAATTTCTTTTTCCACTAGCAAGGCAACCAAATTTAGGAAGGAGTTCGAGCAGGGCAAAGGAAAGGTTTCAACTACAAAGAAGGGAGCCGCCTTCTCTCCTTACGAAGATGTTCTTCGATTCCTTTGCTCACTAATAATCCTCGGCGACCAAAACGTCTCCTACTCGAGATCTGTCACTCCGATGGGGTTCACGGCGGCGGCGTTGCGGGCCCTCTCCGATGGCGGCTGCACGCCGCACATCATGCGGCTCTGCTGCAGTCCCGCCATGTAGCTCCTCACCTCGTTGCGGATCATCTCTTGCATGATCGCCAGGAATTCGGCGCTAAAAGGAGAAGGCGCTGGCCGACGCCCCTCCTCGGCGGAAGTGGCTGCAGAGGAAAAGCCCGGTATCATCTGCTGCGGATCTGCAGCAGCAACAGAGCACGACAGCTGGCTCTGGTGACTGGGTTTGAAGATGGTATGGACCTTGCGATCCTTGGAGGTGGACATCTGACATGATCCAGGAAGGGAGAGGGTGAGGGAAGTAGCTGGATCGTCGTCGTTGTTGGGAAATGTAGGGGCTACGGCAGCACTGATTGTCTCGCCCTGAGTCTGTTTGAGGATCGGAGAGGAGCATGGCACGATGCGGCCAGTTGTCGGAACCGGCTGATAGATGTGCGGCGGCGGCATCACCGGATAGCTATGGTGACTGGAATCACTGACATCGGACCCGGACGGGCTTCCGGGGCTGAAGCAAATCCCTGATCCTCGCGACAACAGGATCAGGCCGTCGCTGCTTGCCCTCTTCAGCGGTCTCGTCGCTTCCGCCTCGTCCTCCATATCCGCTGCCTTGACCGACATGATCGCGTCGTAGTGGTGCTGCAGCCCGTCTTCTCCGGCGCAGGGGCGGCTGTGCTTGCGCTTGAGTGTAGAGTTCCAGTGGTTCTTGATGGCGTTGTCGGTACGCCCGGAGAGGAGGCGGGCGATGGTGGCCCACTTGTTGCCGAAGCGGCGGTGGGCGCGGACGATGATCTCGTCCTCCTCATCCGTGAAGGGGCGGTGCTCCACCTGGGGCGAGAGCTGGTTGCACCATCGCAGCCGGCACGACTTGCCGGAGCGCCCCGGAATGGACTTGCTGATGATCGACCAGTTCCTGGGGCCATGCCGCTGCACCAGCCTCTGCAGCGCCTCGTCCTCCGCCGGGCTCCACGGCCCCTTGATCCTATCAGCCTCCTTGCTCCTGCTTCCCCCCGTCGTCGTCGTCGTCGCCGCCATCGGATCCAATCTCCCCCAACTCAAAAACTCCAACCGATCGATCCAAACCCCCAAGCGATTCCAACGAAAATCCCGGAGGATATCAATACAAAGAAAAATAGGGAAGGATAGGCCACCGTAGGAAATAAACAAATATTTCGACCGTTATTTTGCTACGTTAGAGCAAATGTTCAAACCCAGAGGAAGAAGAGGCTGATGAAGGAAGCGAGAGTTATGGCAGTAGCAGCACGAAGAAGACAGACGGGATTTTATAGAGGGTCGACGGTGACCGGGTTAAGGTATCGCTTGGCGAGCTCGTCCGGTTCCCACAGGTTTCGTTTGCATACAGCTGGCGGTGGCCACGCATCTCCGTTAGCTGCTCCACGGCACCACCTTTGTCTGCTCGACGACACTACCAACCGTGTGCCTTGTCAGCGGCTTGCCGCGTGGGGCCCGTACGATCTCCAATCGCATAACGGGTGCGGACAATGATGCCTCGTTGCGATTCCCACCATGTTTCAGACGGTAATTGTACACCCATCGAATCAGAATCGTAACGCCCTCAAACGCCATCTTGTTCACAGCGCCTTCCTTCCGTGACAACGCCGTTGTGAGTTCTGCCCGCGTGTATCACTCGTCCCTTTCCGTTTCGACTCAGTACGCAGTAACGCCGTTGATGGATGATGTTACTGTTGTGAATTATATCGTCCGATGGGAAGATATGGTATCCGTTCAGGCCAGCCTGTCAAGCTGTCAGATGCAGCCTTTAACTGCCCCCCACCCTCTCCTTTTCTTCTCCTGTACACACTCGAAAGCTCTCCAAACTGCCAAAAAACCGACTGCCATTTTTCTATCTCTAGATTTGACTGCACACCGACACCCCTCCCTCCCTCCCTCTTCCTTTCTAAACCACCTGTTACCGACCTTCCTCGCTCCTTCCTTACGCCTTTATTATATCTACGTACGTCTGTTATTTAATATAATGAACACGGTGTCCCCCCACTTAAAGAGTAATTTAGTAATAATTCTCCATCTAGAAGAATTAGCAAGGGGAGATACATGTTGGAAGTAAGCCTATCAATACTTCATTATTATACGAACGAGCAGGGCAGCGTCGGTTGCTATCTGTCGTAGTTCATTAATGGATATTGGATTGCGATGGCATTTCCCGTGACTCGTACGTCGTGTACCCCCCCTCACAGCTGGCGATTTGGCCCGCCCGACCTCCCCGGCTGTGAAGCAGTGCAAAGAACCAACTACGTTCGCCTCCGCATCACACGGCCCACATGCATCTATTTCTCTTCCTTTCTACCAGTTCAAATTAATTCGACTGGGTCGGTTCGAGGAGACAACCGGGGAAACGTGACCACGAGAGAGATTGAAAGAGGACGGTGCGGGTAGGGAAACGCCCGTCACGAACGCGTGTGAACGGAAATAGATATTTGAGGACCGGGAAAAGAGAACGACGGGCACGGTTGGGGCAGCACGTGCACCTGCAGCCCACTTGTGGAGCGTGGCGCACGTGTGAGGGTGGGCCACCACGCATCGTTTGGGCACTTCAAAAAAGCGGTCATGTGGTGGGAGGGAAGCAGTTAGGTGGACCATGCTCCCCGTCTCGGGCACCACCATCCTTTTCTTATCGTTTTTTACTACACATTACGTAGCATCGTCATCTGAAGTCAAAATCTACCTACGTTGTTCGTTTGCTTCTGAGCTGTCACGGTGGCCTGCCCCGATTAGAGCTGCAGCGAGATCCCAAAGCTTGCTTTTCCAAGACATCGCCACTGGTCCCCCTGACAGTGCCATCCTCGTGTCCACCACTTCCACATTATTGAATTCAGATGGACTATAATATAGCTTCTTGGCTGGCAGGCGAAAGAACTACGAAGGTGCAGCTTAGATTCCCTCCCACAGCCCCCCCATCTTTACACTTGGGTTATCCGTGCCTAATACAACGCACCATGTTAGCGGAAACTTGGCGTTCGGCGCCCGCGGCAGGCCATCCCCGTCACGTGGGGCTCACGAGGCTCGCCATCATGTACTTGTCCGTGCTCTTGGTTGGTTCTCCACGTGGGCCCCGTCAATCCCCACGTTCCCGAAGCGCCAACAGCAGGTTCGTTCTCTGGCGTCCCACGTGGTCTGCGTGCTTCGGGATTCCGCCCCGGTGAGATCCCAAACCGGCGTACGAGTGAGGATGATGGTGATGACGCGGCGGATGACGTGATGGCCGTGTCTCGACGGCCTTGCCGTGGTTTCTTCAAACAACGAGCACCATTGCATCTTTGCCTTCGTTGCTTGAGAGATTTGTATTCCTAAAGGATGCCCGAAAGGTGTTCGACAGGCGCGCTGATGGAGTGGCAACTTACGTCCTCTCATTTTTCGCTTTGTGCCTCACGCACCCGTCACGCCCACCGCCCTCATCACCTTTTGCTTACTGATGCTTTTGGCCCCATCTTTATCAGTCCGGCGTACGTTTGTTGGTGGCGTAGAGGGGATGAAACGGGCACCACGCAGCGCTTTGTGTGGGTGCGGGAAAAGGCATAAGAGTGGTTGTGGGGGGTTGTCGGAGCTCGACAACAGACTAGCGTGGGTTGGAGCGGGCAATTCCTTGATGCGAGGACGGCCAAGCATGGTGTTTATGCACGGAGGTGGATGTGCAGATGAATTGTTTGTAGGAATGCGGGGGAACGTGGTGGGTATACACGGCCACCCTCTGCGTTCTGTAGGCAAACATGCCCTCACATGTAAATGTAAAGAGAGCACATCGATCGATGTCGGCAGGGGAACACCCTGCTTCTTCCGCAAACCAGCTCATCTCATTAATGCTCCTCGCGCCAAGTCACCGTCACACAAGAATGTCCACATCCGAGTCATTCTGCCACTTGCCATTTATCGACAATAAATGGCACCATTTATTGTCGGTTTACCGAATAAAAAAAAATGAGCTAATTATTAATCTATTTAAATTACCAGATTGGAATTCTCAGCCCACCGCATCTTGGTTCCGTCCAACCCGAACCATTAGTCATTAAAACCCGACCCGGGCCGGCCGTTTTGGCCCAACTACTACTTATATGGGTTTTGGTCCAATTCAAGAAACCGTCTTGCCCCAGTTGGTTATTCCTTCTCTCGCTCGCTGTCGAGTTCTTGGGGGAGGAAACTCCAACTAGATCTTGAAGAGGAGGAGAGAGCGGAAGGGAGTCGATCGATCGGATGAAGCGAGGACGTTACCCACCGCCATCGAAGGGTTCCTCCGCCGAAGCTGAAGGTTTCCCTCGTATTTTGCCTTTTTCCTTTCTTCTCGGATTAATCTTGGATTTCGATGATGATGAATCTTGAAATTCTTGAGCAAGCTAATAGATCTTTACGGATTAGATCTTGTTCGTGTATAGATAATACCCTAATAGGTTTGCCCTGCACATTCATGTTGATTTAGTTCTTGGATGTCACGGCTTTGTAGCTCCTGGCGACGCTTGTGAGTGGAAGCTTTTGTACTCTTCTCCTCTGGATCTCTAATGGAGAGGGTCGATCTCCGGTGTTCCTCAGTACCTCCATGGAAACTTCAAGATTCTCTTGTTTTTCCCCTGTTCTTTTCTTTTCTTTTCCTTCCGCAGGTGTATCTCCCATTGATTTTTGATCGATGACTATGGAGATGAATCTTAGACATCTAGTCATGCTCCTCTTCTTTTCTTTTCTTTTCTTTCCTCTCCGCAGGTTGATCTCCTAGTGATTTTTGATCGATGCCAATGAAGATGAATCTTAGACTTCTTGTCATTCCCCTCTTCTTTTCTTTTCTTTTCTTGCCCCTCCGCAGGTCGATCTCCTATGGATTTTTGATCGATGTCCATGGAGATGAATCTTGGACTTCTTGTGGATGCAACCAGACCTTTACTGATTAGATCTAGAATTCTTGGTAGAAGCTGAATTCGAGTCATTCAGGCCCTCTTCTTTTCTTTTCTTTTCTTTTCCCTACCTTCCGCTGGTGGATCTCCTATTGATTTTTCATCGATGTCCATGGAGATAATTCTTAGACCTGGTCATTCCCCTCTTTTCTTTTCTTGACCCGCCGCAGGTGGATCTCTTGTTGATTTTTTATCGATGTCTACGGAGATGAACCTTAGACTTCTTGTCATGCTCTTCGTTTCTTTTCTCTCGCCTCCGCTTTCGATCTCCTACGGATTTTTGATCGATGTCCATGGATTTGATTCTAGAATTCTTGTTAGTGGCTGAAATCGAGTCATTCAGGCCCTGGTTGGCTTTCTTCGGTGGCACCAAGGGCTGTCAGTGTCTTGGCTTTCCAAAACTCTATTATAATCTTGTTTATACCCCTACCTTCAACTAGTGAGGGTCCCTATCCTCATCTGACTTCTTTCTGTCAAAAAGGATCACGTAGAAAGGAATCTTGCCAGCATATGGGAGGCCATGCTCCTATGGTCGCTTGACTGTGATAAAGAAGCCCTTCCTATTTCTTGATTGAAGGAAAACCGGATTTTGATTTCTTTCTATAAGTGATCTCTTAAAGTATACCTAAAAAAAAAAGAAGAAAACTTGTGAACTCCCCAAGAAAAAAAAAAAAGGAATTTCAATTGGCAAATCTAATTTTCTTCCATCAATATATTTTTGCTAGGGCTTACAAATAAGATGCTTTGCTTTTCTTGCTCGTCTGCAATCAAAGTGCTGCCTTCTTTGTCTGTGCTTTCTCAAGTTAGTAAAATATTCTTGCATTAAATCATTGGTTTGTGGTTCTGCCTTCGATGTTAATCAGGTTAGTTAAGTCTTCTTTGCTGAAATTATCAATACAGACTCCATTGTAGATGAATTATGCAACTTGAAAAAATTGAAGTGCACATCTTGAATTAAATAATAGATTGACACTCAACTAAGTAGTTATATTTTAAGATTTAGTTTGTTATCTTCTATTATGTATGCAATGAATAGCAAATTCTATATCTTATAGCAATAGTATTTAAAATGTGTGCTGAAATTTGGATGATTAAACTAAATATAATTTTGTCTTATCAATTAAATCTTTGGATTATTAATATGATGTATGTGCTGTTGGCAAAGCATCAATTTTATGCATTCCTGACTGTTGTTGTATAACCAATTATTAGATCATGTACCTGTGGTGATTATTTTGGAATTGATACAGGTTTCTGTCCAATAGTTACATGTGTCAGGAATGATCGAACTGTACATCAAACTGATATCTTTATTTTACTTGTGACATGCAAAATTATAAAGTGTGAAGGTTATCTGGTAGTACAGCTATAATTTTCAGTTACAGCTTATCATCACATTTTACCTTATCTAGCTTTTCCTCTCTTTTTTTGACCGTTTTTCTTTCTTTTGACTGCCTGCATATGTCTCCATATGCTTGCATGTTGTGGATAAAGAAAACCCAACCTGTCATGTCCAACTCCATGAATTCCTTGACCATTAGAGATGTGAAGTAACAGATTAGCTTCTCTGAGAGTTTTGGAGTGGTAATTTTTCGTTAGATTTTCTGTTTTGTGCTTGTAGCACAAATGGTGAAGGGTGGGATGAGGCCTTCAATCTCCAATCCCATTAAGCTCTTCAGCTCTTTGGAGAACCCTGATATGAATTTTTGGTCCAAGTGATATTATGATGACAAAATGTGTTTCTGAAGTCATATTAGTTTTTTTGTGTCATTGGCATAATAGAGACTATGATGATAGAGATTATGATGTTATAATTTGAAAGGCCATCCCAACTAATGAGTAGTTTTGATTGAATGTAAAAAGGAGATAAAAATGCACAAGAATTTTGGGCTCTTTTGGAACCTATAAGTGCATTTTAATCTTTAAAGGTTAGGGGGAGAGGGAGAGAGGTTAGGGGGATTTAGGGAGTGGGGGCAGAGGGTGGGGGGGCAT